CCCCCCCCCCCCGCCCTTCCCTCCCTCCTTTGGCCAGAGGGTGAGCATAGCTCTTCGGTCTGTCCTTTCTGCAGCTGCTCTGAGCATAAAGAACCCCAGGTGCTTGTGGCGATGACCACACAGACTGAAGCACTGGGTCTTGTTCAGACAGCTGACCTGGGCCATCAGCTGGAACCTCTAAGGACTGGAAACCGACTTCCCATCCACCTGTGAAATGACCCCCCACCCCCTTCAGGACACCCCTGTGGTGAGGTGCTCCAGTGAAAGAGAAGCGATTACGAGAAAAAGAACAGGATGCAGCTGATGAACTGAGAGATGACAGTCTGGGTGGGTGAGGAACCTGACATCCTTAGAGTGACCTGCCACTGAGTCACCCACACCTTTAAGCATCGGATGGAAGATACACACCCTTTCCCCAGAGAAACTGTAAAATACACACGGGAATAATTTCCCCGAAGTCACATGTGACTCACTGACACACACACCCCAGGACTGCATGGACCCCTGGCCGAGAATTCCTGTTTTAGAGGCCAGTTAGAAGCAGCTGATGACAGGAGTCCCTCTGAGGAGGGGCTGGGAATTCCATCTTAACTACAAACACATTTCCCAGGGCACGAGGACACGCACAGCCAACAGCTGCAAAAGAAGGGGGTGAAGAACGGATGCTCCCCGAGGAAAACGTTTACCTCACAGGGTGAACCCTCGCGGAGCACCCCCGTTTATGCTCACTGGCGAGGGGAGAACGGGCCCCCCTGAACTGCAGTGGCTGGCCCATCTGGAAGGGATTAAACACATCAACAGAAGAACTCAAGCTCACAAAAACGGTTCGCCTTGGTAAATGTTTGTTTTGTGTTGCTTCCTCCTGCGGGCTGCTAGTTTCCCAAAGGCCAAGCACTCCTGCTTGACGGAGGCAGCAGGCGGCGTATGCTCAGACCCACCGGTTTGGGGCCCGGGGGGACGCACACCCCGGCTCAGCCACGGGAGGGACCACGGCCGGGACAGGCTGCTGCGGCTCCAGGCCGGGCTCCACGTGGCAGGAGGAAGATGGCTGTGGCGCCAGCAGCTCTCCAGGCCCCTCTCTCCTGGGTGTTGGCTCAATGTTCTCAGCTGAGCCTCTTTTTTTTCTGGTTTATGTTAACCAATTTACACAGGTGCAGTAATGCACGAGAATTACCACTACCCAAGAGTTCACTACATATAGTTTAACTTATTTTTTAATTGATTTCAGAGAGGAAGTGAGAGGGAGATAGAAACATCAATGATGAGAGGGAATCATTGACTGGCTGCCTCTCGCACACCCCCTACTGGGGATCGTGCCCGAAACCCAGGCATGTGCCCGGAATTGAACTCTGACCTCCTGGTTCCTAGGTAAAATGCTCCACCACTGAGCCACAGGGGCTGGGTAGCTGGGCCTCTTTACGTCACCTCTTACTCCGGTCACTGTAGAAGTGCACGCTTTGCTCCCAACTACTTTTCTTTGGCTAAAGCAGGTTGCATAATGATGCCTGGTTTTACTGGGACGGGGAAGTATGGTCCATCGGTGGGCCCAGGGCAGTGAGATGCAAATGATGTTAAAAGTTGTAATGTCTGCTCAGTGACTACGGGAACACGCTTGAAAATTAAAATGAAGTTTGAGGAATGTGTGCTAAGATGCTCTCTCCGAATGGGAAAACCACCCCATTAGATTTAAAAAATAGACGACAGGCTTTCCACTTCCGGCCACGAGGGGAGCACAGGCCAGCCGCTCCCCTTGAAGAAGAAGACACAACACATGAAATACAGTTTCAGACACTCGACAGCAGGAGAGCAGGACTCTGATCACTGGGGGAATGGAAACAGGCCAGCCCCACGATGGCCCCAAATTACTGCTAGATGAGGTTCCAGGCGCAGTACAGGGCGGGGAAACCAAATAGAGGTTCATGGTCTCGCCGTGTCCAGAAGACAGAGACAGCGTTCAGGGTGACCACAGTGGGTAGGACTTGCAGGGCAGCGTACAGGAGAGGAGAAGCAAAGAGAGATCAGATGTGAGAGAGACAAGCAGGCAGGCAGTGGAGATCTGCAGAGGTTCATGGTCTCGCCGTGTCCAGAAGACAGAGACAGCGTTCAGGGTGACCACAGTGGGTAGGACTTGCAGGGCAGCGTACAGGAGAGGAGAAGCAAAGAGAGATCAGATGTGAGAGAGACAAGCAGGCAGGCAGTTCAGGAGATCTGCGGGGGGGGGGGGGGGGGGGGCTAGAAACACTTTGTTTGAACATGGTTCTGCGCACTCATGAGAGGAAACCCAAGTGAGCACAGTGACTCAAACCCCAGAAACGAATAGGACGGAGGCTGGGCGGCCACCAGCCAAAGAGTAGACATCCCAACGCAGGCCTGGGGCAGGGCCTGGAGACAGGCATCCTTAGCAGGGCGCAGGCCTGTCCTCTGCAGCCAGAGGGAGCCACTGCCCATGCATACCCAGCTGTCCTCCTCCAGGAGGGGAGCTGGGCCCGCCTGGGGCTCTGGTCCCGCCAGGCGACCTTGTCCAGGTCTCCGCGTCCAGCCTCACCTCACTTGCTGGCTGCCCAGGGGTCCGTCTCTGCTTGCTGGTTCGTTTGAGATCCACAAGGGTACACAGTAAAAAGAGGGTGTCGGATTTGCCCGGTTACAGCTGCTCATCGCCTGCCAGGTGAGGTGCCTGGAGCAGCCGGTGTGACCTGGGGGCCAGGCCCTACTTCTGAATTGGCGGGGTTGATGGGTCGAAGTGGGGTATCTGTGATTGCTGAGCGGGTCCTGAAGGCTCCCCGAGGTTCCATGGAGAAGCAGCCCAAATGCCCCTGCCCTGGCCACCACTCCTTCCTCCCCGGCCTGCCCGTGGCGCCATGGGTGTTGTTTTCAGCAGATGGCCACAAGAAGTGATGATTTAAAAAAATCACACACGAACACCAAAAAGTGCTTTGAAAAATGGTTTGAGAATTTACTGTACAGGTTTTTTAAACAATTTATTTATATGTTCGCTTCTACATGCTCTTATATTTGTGTAAAACATTTATACATATCTTTACAATTTGTACATATATTAAATGGCTATATCATAAACACTGTTCTATGAGATTTTATAAAAGAAAAATCAAGGGAAATTACTTATAAAACATTAACAAAAACCCGTGACACTAAAGAACAAGAAGTTCTCATTCACGTCCATCTGATTTCCTCTTCTACTTATTTTTTGGTTTCACTTCATTCATGCGGCCCGACGTTCATTTTCTGTAACAGCGAGATCAGGGCAGAGCAAAAGCCGTGGCGATCACCGAGTAAGTAAGGCAAGAGTGCAGGAAGACAGTGTGCGGGGTGCTCAGGCCGTTAACTGAAGTACCAGGACCAGGAAACCCCGGGATTAGCGCACATTATTCCGCTGCCACCCTTCGCATCCGCTAAGCTTTTCCACTTGGTGGGGAGGGGCAGCCAGGTCACTGGTTTTCATCTGTCCGGTAATACCCACGGGCCCACTGTCTGCACCCAAATCAAGTGGCCAGTCCTGCCCTCACTTCTCATTCTGTCTGACTGGGCAGCTGAAGACTAGACACAGGCAAGAAGCCTGAGGCTGGCGTCTTCTCGCCCGACCAGGAGGAGCGCTCGCTCCTTCCTGAGCACAGTCAGCTCAGGGTCGGCAGTCCCCCACGTGCCCTTTCCCGGTAGAGCTGGCCCTGCTGAGGAAGGAGAGCAGGACGATGCCCTCCACAACCTCCTGGCGGCGGGGCGGTGGCATCGCTGCAGGGACCGCCTGCCCCGACCCCGCAGCCCCTCTGCCTCCTTTCCTGAAAACGCAGGCACATGAGTCATAAATGTGTCAGTGAAAGGCATGTGGATTTTCCTAAACAGACAGGAATTCCAAGGCATTGAAAAGAATTATAAAAATATATACAAACATATTTTTTTATTCTGGCATATTCCATATTTTTAAGAAAGCAATTAGTAACCATCTGGCCTTGGGTAAGAACTGGAAGATTGTGGGCTTAAAAATTACAAATTTATGTAAAATATAAGTGGGGAAACCTCTAATTTTCCATTCAAAATTCTGGTAATTTTAAATACTTTCCAAAAATAGAGACAATTTCCACTGGTTTAAATAATGGCTGTAGAAATGAACAAAAGAAGACTATATAACTGATGCGTTTAGGTGAGTAAAGTGTAGTTTTTTGCAACTGTTTCTCTTGGTGTTGATTTTTGGATGATGGGGGATTAGACTGCATTGCCCCAGGTCAGAGAGAAGCACTTGGGAGTTTCTTCATGTTCCGTTCCGTCTACATCACAGGGAAGCGGCCGAGGGCCTGCCTCAGCTTTTCTGCAATCTGGTGGGGAAAGAAAAGGTCTGAGATATCACCTCCATACAACTTCACAGTGATGGATTATTTCCAGCTCTTCTGAGTTAAACACGGTAACAATCTCAAACTCTTGGGTCTATGCATCTAGGCGCTGCCACGCTACTGTGGGAGAGACCTCAGACCCGGGACCAGGCTCGCAGGCGAGGGCCGCTCCTCCAGGGCCCTGCTCTGTGCACAGCAGCATTTCAAGACCGTCCCCTTCCCCCCAGTGCGGCTGGAGGATCCCTCCACCTACGAGCTCCAAGACCCAGCCGAGGGGCTCGCCCCATGCTCACACCGCTCTGCTACCTCAGGGCAGACAGTGTCACCTTCCACATAAAGCCACTGCTGTCTCCCCAAGGACACACGCCCCTGAGGACAGAGGTCTCAGTCATCCTTGGATCCTGAGCGTTTGCAGTAAGTGCTTAGTGTGCAACACTGAAGAAATGTTTGCTCCGTGAACAAATGTGCACATTTTAATAACTGTTAGACCTAACAAAGACACATAGTTTCTTTTACATATATGTATATATACATATATGTATATGTATGTGTGTGTACAGTGGGGCCTTGACTTACGAGTGTCCCGACTAACGAGTTTTTCGAGATACGAGCCGTCTCTTGGCCGATTTTTTGCTTTGAGTTGCGAGCTAAAATTCGGGTTACGAGCCAGCTTCAGATACCCCACCGCTAGTTGGCGCAGCGAACGTCACAGTGAACGCCACAACATCAGCCCAGCATCACGTGTCTCACTCGTTCACTTTATGATTTGACATACGAGTAATTTGGGTTATGAGCTCCGTCACGGAACGAATTGAACTCGTAAGTCAAGGCCCCACTGTGTGTGTGTGTGTGTGTGTATAATATTGATTTCAGAGAGGAAGGGAGAGAGAGAGAGAGACATCAATGATGAGAGAGAATCATTGATTGGCTTCCTCCTGCATGCCCCCACTGGGGATCAAGCCCGTAACCTGGGCATGTGCCCTGACCAGGAATCGAACCTGGGATCTTCAGTCTGCAGGCTGACACTCTATCCACTGAGCAAAACTGGCTAGGGCAACACATAGTTTCCTATTCCAAATTACAGCAGCATTAATAATTAATCCTCACTTGGGCTTGAGAATTATTTAGCAAATTAACATCAGAATTTCAAGAATTGTCCTTCAATTACTCTCTCACACAGAATACAAGTGCCTGCTATTCTAACACAGGGTGCAAGGCCACCATCCAATGGCACCGATGAATAAAGTGCACAGGACACGGCACAGGAGCGCACCCTAGGGGAGAGCACTGCTTCGGAATCCTTTCTGTACACTTTCTCCAAAACCAACTGTTCCAATGCACAGGCACAGCTTGCAGCAGGCACATCAACCCAGCTCCTTTCGAGAACCGTGGCAGGGACAGACTTTTTGGCAGTGTCCAGTCCAAAGACGACACATGCAGGGATGGAGTTTGGGGCCTGCCTACTAGAGCCCTGGACAGCCATGAGATGATAGCACGGAACGGTGGAGGACTTAGTCCGAACAGGGCGGCCAGCACACGGACCATTATAAAGTGACGGAGCTTGTCTTCAGATGGCTGACTTCTCATCTCCATGCTGGAGCCTGGCTTTCTGGACTCTCTGGTAAACAATGAAGTCAGGCAGTGGTACAAAACTTTACGTTCTCACTGTTTTCTGAATGACATATTCAAGGCCTCGCTCTCTCTTTAATTTCCTCTCTGCAGCCCCTTGGCGCACTGAGACCTCAGTCACAAACAGGCCGCCTGTGGTGCCGAGTGGTGCCAGGCTCCTTCCCCGGCTGAGCCCACTGGGCGCAGGGTGACCTCATCCATTCAGCCGTGTTCCCCGCGCACAGAGGCAGTGAGGGGGGAAGGAGCCACACAATAAGGTCTTCTCGGGGCCTCACCACTGGCACCTGATCTTCAAAAGAAAATCTTTAACCCGGTGTTATTAAAAACGGAAAGGCAGAGGTAATTAAAAGATTAAAATAAACCCTATGATATATTTAGCCTCTTTGGGTTTAACACTTAGGATTAAAAAATACAAGCAGATTAATTTGATATGGTCAGAGTGAGTGACCAGGAACCCTCCCCTCTGCACAGACGGCGGGCGGAAGGGTGACTCACCGTTTCATAGAACTGTACCTGCTGCTCCAGGTACAGGCGGATGACGCTGTTGTAGTCATAGATCCGGTTACTGTGGAAGTGATTCATCTCCGCTACAATCAAAACCAGCACACGAGTCAGTTCCCCCGACTCCACTACGACCCCGGCTTCTCTGCTCCGAGGCGGCTCCTCACCAGCCAGGTTCCCCTGGTTGGCCTCAGTGCAGAGCCAGCTCTTGACAACTCATTTTATAGAGAGACTAGAAAAGCCACTGGACAGTGAATGGCAAACACCACTTCCGAGTAGATGTATGACTTTTGTTGATTCGTATATTAAATACTATGAAACCCAATACCGATAACCACCCAAATACGGACTGTTCTAGGCCAGTGAGGGAGCAGGAAACCGACCTGGTCACATTCTCTGCAGATGACTGCAGTTCCGAAGTTCAGGTGTGTTTAAGGGGGACCTAGCCAGGCACCCGGGGGGCTGATGTACCCACTCACAAAGGAATCCCTTCTCACAATGTGTCTCTCGGCGCCACCCCCTCCCACCACGGCCGCAAGGCCTTCCTCACCACAGCTGCCGCTTGCCTTTCCCCTTTCACTCCCAGCCTAGAAAGCCAACTGCTGGCATCAACTCCTACAAAAAGGTAGCTGTTCTGAGTTCTGTATTATCTGAAGCTCTTCGTTTATCTATCTGGATAAGCTCAGAGACAAGTTCAATACCAAATTCCCTATTTCAAACCCTGCAACACCCATGTCTGCAATCCGGTTTCCCATCTCTGCTCTAGTTGTCCTGGTTCTGGAAATCTCTCCTACACCTCCTCTCCCACGAGCTCCCTGGCCCTGAGGCGCTCCTTGGAGGGCCAGCAGGGCTGTTCTCCGCCCCAGCACATCTCCCTCAGGTCCTCCAAACCCCACCGCACAAGCAGAGGTCTCTGGGCTGGGCTGTCCAACCAACACTGCCCCTCCAATGTATCCATGTAACTAGCAAACCCTTCTCCCTTGAGCATTTTTTCTCTCAAAACCTTTTAATGACTTTTTAATGCCCACATCAAGTCTAGACTCTTCTGCCTGGCTTTCAAGGCCCTCCATAATCACCAACGCTTCTTCCCCAATAACCTATAAGTATGTTTTATTCCCAAAGGCCAACGGCATCATTCTGCACTATTTTGTACGCTTCTGTTCATACCGAGCGCATCCTTCTCTTCTCCTTTGCCCATGAATATTCTATCTGTCCGCCAAAACAGGACAAACCCAGTCCCTGCTCCTAGGAGAACACTCAACTATGTAAAATCAATGAAATCTTCCTTTTACTAAGAGTCAAACTGTGCCTAGCTGCTACCTCCAAATGCCTTTACACACCATGGTCCTCAGCCATGGAGGCGACAGGCTGCTCATAGCTGAACGTGGGAATTGGACAGAGCATTAGGAAGGTGCTGATATTAAGGCTGGAAAAGGTACCTTCAATGTCTCCAAGAAATAATAAAAACATGCAAGTTTAATCAAACACTCATAGTCATGTCAGGTAAATGTCAGTTTTCATCAACACTGGGATCCTGCGAACAAGTGGCTTATGAGGATGTTCCAAATCAGCTCTGACTTAACTGTGGTTCACATCTGGATTTCTCTCCAGCAAGGAAAACAGCAACTTTGCTGGGAAAACCAGGCCCACCTGCTACCACAGACCTCCTCACCTTGTAACGCGTAAGACATGGTGCCGACGCGCTTCACCATGTTCTGTTTGTCCTGTGGGGTGATTTTGCTCGTTGCAACCAGTTTATCACTTTCTTTCACTTTTTCTATTGCTGCCTGTGAAATATAGAAATTAAATGGCATCAGTAAAACAAGGTGAAAGGACCAGGCCTCAGTTGAAAATATAACAAAGCAACCACCTCTTTTATAAGTGACTTGCTGTTGAACAGGACAAGGTCCCTACAAGATAACAGGAAAGCATCCAAACGCAACTTCCTTGAAGTCACTTGGATGCAAAAGGTAACTATTCTTGAGACGTGTAACTAAGCTATGATTTAGTTTTATGCTACAAGAAGCAGGAAACCCGACAGCACTCCACTTCTGGAGTCTCTGTGGGCACCGCCAGGGTCAGAGCAGTTCCCAGCAGGACGCAGCGGCCTCACAGTCCTGCGTGCACCGCACAGCGCGCTCTGCACTCAGGGGGAGGACTGGAGGGCCGGGGCTTGAGCGCGCAGGCTGGAGGCTCGAGCCTTGCTGTGATTTCCAAAAGACGCATCGAGTCCATTTTAAATTAACATTCAGATGGAAGCAGCTGTAGAAGCTGCTGAACACGGCACAGCGCTCATTCCTTAGCGCCGCCCGGACAGAACACCTCCACACTCGCGGGTAAGTTCAGCTCCGTGCCTGGAGCTCTCACTCTGTGGGACACATGCCTCCAACAGGTTAACTGACCTGAGTTTTTTAACTGAGATTTTAATTTTACTTTTTTTCAGTTTTATTGGAATGTAATGACATGTAGCATTGCATTAACTTAAGGTGTGTGACATAGTGACCTGTTACATGTGTCTATTGTGAAGTGGCCACCACAGTAAGTCTAGTAAACATCCATCTTCCTCACAGAGTTACAAATACTTTTCCTTATGATGAGAATATTTAGGATCTACTCTCCCAGCAATTCTGCTTCTGTTACATATTTGAAGGAAAGAAAATCACATCTCAAAAAGACAGAACACTCCCAGGTCAGTGCGGCACGATTGAAAATAGCCAAGATACAGAAACAACCTCAGTGTCCATCAACGAATGAATGGATCAGGAAAATGTTCTGAGATTTATATTAAGTTATCTAAGTTGCACAAAACTTCTTATTTACATATGCGATCTCTTCATACTTTAATTATACTAGTAAAGCCAAATGCTAAAATGGGCTCCGACCAGGCCTTCGTAGAGAGTTCCCTAGTAATCCCAGCACAGCACTGTGTCCTGGAGTCCACAGCTGTAAGATACTCGAAGTCTGAGGTAATACACAGATTTTGAAACAGAGACAAAAATTAACAGAAACAAAATTTGAGTATACCCTAAGTCAATTTTTAAATTTAGTTTAAAAATACCTTTTTGACGGGAATTACATAGCTTCCTTTTTATTAATATGTATGAACATATAATGCCAACACTGGCCATTTGAGTTTTAACTAGAAAACCAGTGGTTATTTCATTTGCCAGGGCAGGACCTTTGAGGACTTGCCCAAGCAGCTGACAAGGTCTCATTGGTAAGAGAAGGATCATTCCTATTACTGTCTTAAATTTCAAACATCATGACACTAACTACATGCATAAAGGTATACTTTTCATATTTTTAGTTCCTTCAAAACAATGTTTTCTTAGTAACAAAAGAAACAAAAAACTATTCTTATATCCAAACATGTGATGGGACCTTGCTAGTTAAACGCCCCAAGGACTTCCAGGGGTCCCAGAAAGCTTCCCGACTCAGGAGTGTGAGAGGTGGGCCCGTGCCTGCAGCTCGCGATTTACCCACACCGTCTGCTGTAAACTTCTACAATCCAGTTACCTTGTGAGCGCCGATAATGTCCGGGAAGCAGCCAAGGAAACCTTTATATTCATGATTACATTCCATCAGGAAATGGAGGTCTTTCTTTGGCTATAACAAGACACAAGTTGGTTGTTACTGGCAGAGGAATCCAGACAGCCAAGGAAAAGAAACGCCTATCTGAGGACTATATTAGCCAAATCCTCCAGGTACTACATTAAGCTATTGAGTGTTAAGCATTCAGCTTAGTTTTCCTACAAGAAAATAATCCCCAGAGTCCTATACCCTCTACCATAGGCTGTAAAGAAAATTATAACACATCAGGTAAAATTTTGGTGGGTCTGAGGTGGCCCAAAATACAACACCTTGAGGAAAAGAATGTAGGACTACATGTTTACATACAAGGAAATAAGATGTTATAGTTTAATGTCTAAATTTTAGCAGAAAAGGTAAAAATACTATGAGAAAGTCTAGTAATCATTGTAAGTGGCAACTTTAACATTTTCTATTTTTCTGAATTACAATTTTTAATAGCTATGTCATGCACAGTTCTAAAAATTAATCTTTTTTACAAGTAGCAGAGAGTAATTAATGACATGAGTGTGTGTCCATAGGCACATGTGTACATACACGTTTTAAAAAGTTATCTGAAAAAAATTTTTTTTTTAATTCAGGGATTTGAAACAACTTAGATGACTATGTCCTTGGGGGAAGTGATGTCAGTTACCTGTGAGAAGTGGGACGGGCTACTAGAGACTCCAGCCCACACCCTCTCGGCACCAAGGACGGGCTCTGTGCCGGAATTGGAGCAGGAGCCTTCGCCTTATTAGCTGCTGCTCCATGCAAGTGAGCTACTTCCAAGGTTGGTGCCTCCGTCGCCACTTTCCAGATGGGGAAACTGAGGCAAGTAAGAGTCCAAAGGGGACTTGAGCAGAGCTCCTTCCTGTACATACTGATCTCTGACAGCTAACGACAGATCCAAGCCCTCGACCCTAGAAGGTATACTTTTAGATTTCTTGATGACAACTTTATCCATCACTTTAGCTAAATCTAAGAAGCACTATTACCAAATACAATTTAAAAAGATACATAGGAGTAGGAAAGAAGAGGATAACCAATTGAGCATTTGTCTTAAAACTGATTTTAAATTAAGTATGTAGATTAGATGGCTTAAAATATTAAATGGAATTGTGTGGTTATGTTAATACCTGCTCTGCCACAAGACTGGCAATTTCTTCATAAGTCTTTCCTGCTTCTGTTATTGCATCATTGAGATCTGTTTCACCTGAAAGTCATCACAGTTACCAGTGGTTGTAAGTTATGTCTTTCCATTCATTTTATTTAAACATTTTATGACAGAAAATTTCAGACATTTTAAAACTGGAATGAATCCCTGTTTACCCATCACCTAGCTTCCCAATGAACAGTTCATGGGCAATATTTTTTCACCTATCCCATCCATTCCCACCTCCCCTTTCACTGGCCACATAACATTGCATCCATAAATGTTACTTAGAAGATAAAGACTCTTTAAAAAATAAGGACAATAGCATATTACAGTGAAGACAATTGTCCCTGAGATGAATTATCAGTCAGCGCGCAGCTTTCTGGCAAAGAAGCTGCAAGAAAATACACTTAACAACCCTCCACTCTTCTCGAAAGTCGCAAGGTGCGGTTGCACAAGTCTGAGTGGAGCACCAGCCAATCTGAGTCGGTGCCAAGGTGCTACTGCAGCGCTCCTGGTGGTCTGCAGGAGCCTGAAGCGGGCGGCAGTCAGGATAAGACACTAACGCTCAGAGGTAAGTAAGTAAAGCCCTACCTTGGTAAGCACTGGAACTGAACACTGTTGCTAAGCTCTGCAGGGCCTTGCCTATCTTCTGATATTCCTTGGGTAGTGCTGAAAGAGAAAAAGAAATACGTCGTCAACTAGTCCTCCCCACAAACTGAAGTGGGACTCAACTATTTTCTAAAAGTGATTACTTTTATAATAGTAGAAATTTGAAGTGATTCAAAAGAATCTATATGCTATAATAAAATGATTGGTTTTTTAATATTTTTCCATCAAATTCTTTCAATTTATAATTAATCACTTAATGACTGGTGCATGCTATTATTAACAACCAGCACCACTGCCCATTCTCATTCACTGAATGACATCTGAGTGGACGGGCGGCTGTTAGAGGATGATTCCAGTGTGCGCAGTGCTATCTATCACACAGGCCACCCCTCCCTCCACCAGATGCAGACACCCCTCCACTTCATGGGGCAGGAAGATAAGGGTCAGATAAGGAAACTGACGTGCTCAGGGCCACATGGCTAACAAAACGGTGGATGTGGCACTTCTGATTCCAATTACATGGCTTTCCCCACTCTGCTATGTATATATGAATAATTATTTGCAAAACAAAACTCAAAGCAACAAGGTGTGGAGAAAAAGGCAGTGGGACCTCCCAGGACCAGGCAGGAGGGATTTGTTTTCTCTTCCGTTGATATAAACTGTGTGGATGGCAGAGGCCCACTCGGTGGCTGGACAGCGAGTCCTCTAGGCGTGTGGGGCCACAGCTTCTGCTGCGACTCCTCCCCTGTGCACTGTAACAGGCAGGAGGCCCGACCACACATAAGTAAATGGGGGCGGCTTGTTCCTGCAGCACTTTATCACAAAAGATGGGGCGGCCAGATGGGCCTGAGGTCGCGCTTGCCCGTCCCTGATGTAAGGCTTCACTTTCAAGTCTGGGTCACAGACCTCAGAACTGCTACCCACTTGCTTTGTTATTTTAATATTTCACCCTCAAGTCACTCCACATTCAGTTTCTTGTTCATTAAACTTGTTATTGGACTTCAAATAGATGCTTTTCCATTATTTAGAAGAAAAATTCCACCTTTAAAAAAAATCTTCCAATAACAGATAATTTAACCTCTCCCCTATGCTGAGTACCAAGGTATTGATATAACGTTAAAGTGGGTATGTATTACTTTTAGACTTCAAAGCCAAGCCATTTTTACTTTTTAAAAATAACTGGGGATGACCAGGATTCTTGTAGGTTTCAGTGACAGACTAGCAGGACCTCGTTCTCACGAAGTTAACACAGGTGAGCCCTAACTGCAGCTCAGAAACCCGAATTTCTCTGGGACTCAGAAGGCTGTGCTGGCAATAGGGTAGAATGGATGTAAGGGGAGAAGACTCCTCATCCTCTGAGGCAGTCGGACCACCTGTGTGGACACTACACTGCCGTGGGTGCGGCCTCTGAGCCTGAGGGAGGAAGGGTGGAGGCTGTGGCAGGACCCACAGCGGACTCCGGTGTCTAGGCTGGGCTGTCTGACACCAGAGCTCATGGTTCTGGGAACACAGCAAACGTGGCTCAGCAGGATGACAGTCTGCACACAGGGAACTGAGGGGACAGGAAGTCCTGGAGGACATGGACACAGCAGGCAGGAAGCACACCCCGTGCCACGGGCCTCAGCAGTGCTCCTAGTCTGACCGTCTTGTATTTTCTACCAGTCACATTGGTTTTTCCTAAAAATTAGGGTGTTAGTCAAATCAACACCTTGCCAACGGAGGAAGATTGAAAACTAAACTAATGAGCTACAAGCATTCTCTAAACATGCAGAAAGGCTACATTTTTCATAGATTACAAAACCCCAGGAACTGGAAATACTTAAGCAAACGTGGTGTTTTTTAAGAGTTCTTGAACTGGCTTTGTTAGAGCCAACTGTCTGCTGTTGACTTGGGTTGAGAAGTGAGGTTCACCGAAGAGCTCCTTCTGCCTAAAGGGTGAGGCCCCAGGGTGACCAAGGCCGCAGAGCGAGCACGCACTGCCCCTGCGAGCCCGGCAGTGCCGGAGGCACTCACGTCCGGTGCATCGCTTCCAGTGCTCCTGCCCCACGGTCAGCAGCTCCTTCACGCCGTCGTCCATGGCCTTGGTGAATTTACCAACAGCATCGCACTTCTGTTCTCTGTGGGGCAAAAACACAAGAAGGTGCCTCCTGGGCTCAGCCACCAAATGTCCTGGGGCAGGTGCAGGAGGAGAAACATCACGGTGGTCAGACTCACACCGAATGTCACCACAGGCACCGTGTCCGGCATCAGAACCACCACCCTTTAAGCACATCAGTCTTACAAACAGGCTTGATTCAGGCTTTTAGAGAACTACTTCTAAATGTGCCATTTCTATTTTACTCTGCTTCCTTCTCCCCTCAATTCCTTGTGAATGTCAAGTAAAACTATTCTGAAGTGAATAAAATCCTCATTTCTTGAATATCTTATTTAGGAAAATTCAATCATGGGCAGTACCGTGGAACCTATAGAATAACAGGGGCTGCTAATGGCAGGAGTTCATTCTTCCAACAGTGAGTCACAGAAAACCACCTGCACGTACGACCACCTGCGCAGCGACCTGCACCAGGTGAGCCGCGAGAATGTTTAAAACATGCGGTCCCTGACGGCTTCGTCAGGGCACTGACCTCTTTGCCGTAGATTGCCAAATTAAGAAATGACAACAGCCAACACAACAATAGCCACTTGGTGTGAATGAATCAAAATTATAGCTATTTTTCATTTTTGTCAGCTTGACAAAAAATATAACATGTTTTTTGGTGTGCCTCAGGTTTTAGTAATTAGTTTATGTGCATGAGATGAAAAAGATGGAAAATCACTGCTCTAAGGTGATACTGAACATATCAGTTCTTTAAGGATGTAAAAAGTATTTACCAACCCGAAAAAATCATCACAAGGTAATTTTTTTTTTTAATTACGGAATGCTTCATGAATTTGCATGTCATCCTTGCGCAGGGGCCATGGTAATCGCTGTATCGTCCCAATTTTAGTGTATGTGCTGCTGGAGTGAGCACACAAGATACTCTTACATTTAAAAAAGATGATAAAAGGGAATGCATGTTGTGAGGTCATTTTTGTTTAAACAATTTTTCCTTTAGATACATATGTACCAAGGAGGGTTTAGGAACCTATAGATCCTAAACATGTTTAGGCCAACATATTAACACTGATTTTCTCTCTGGGTAGTTGGAAGATTGTGTGTGGTGTGTTTTTTTTTCCTTGTCTATGTTTTTGGTAACACATATGCAATGATTTTATAAAAGGTTTCTTAAAATAAAAATAAATCAAGACTTTTTATTAGTTCTTATATAGAAAAGGAACTACTGCAAATTCTCAACCAAGCCCACATTAAAGCAAAGATGACATGATAAAGCAGAGATAAAGCAGGCCAGAGATTACTTCCTTCGAGGCAAGGCTCAGAGAGACTCGGCTCTGTGGCCTGTGCGGGGTGTGAGCCGCCTGTGCCCCTCTGCTTCCTCGTGCTTCACTCGGAGTAACTACCAACCACTGTGTGCGCTGAGGTCACTGACTGCAGGGGAGAAAGGAGCAGACCTCCATGTGTTCTGCTGGGAGATGTGCTTTCCCTGACTACAAGCCCCACTCATTTCCGACACTCGAGTCTGACCGAGTCCCGCTTGGGGCTGTCCTGCCAGACCCGTGAGCAAAGGAGGCGGACACAGTTGAGAAGAAGGCAAATCTGGCAGTGTCTCACATTTCTATGAGGTCCAAGTCAGGGGCCTCTGGTTCCATGGTGGAAAATATCATAACTCCCACCAGTTCATCTTTCTCGGCTTTCCTCTTCCCAGTTTTCCATTCCTGTAAATGGGAGGGTCATGAGTTAAACTGGTCTTTCAAAACCCCCTGGTAGCATCAGCTCACTGATCATCTCTACCTTTCTAATTCTCAGGAAGCAGCTCCCCGCCATCTCCCTCTGCACTGTGGGCCACGGCCTGCACATCTCAAATGTAATCTCATGTGGACAGTGCCCTCCCCAGCATGGTCTCTGAGCGCCCAAGCCCTTCCTGAGTGAGGTGACCCAGCCACTGTTCCTTTCCCAACCGCTACCAATCCAAACACAGGGAGTAGAAACACAACCTATGAATTCTGACAAAGTGCCTTAAATTTTTAGGCTGTTTAGTTCTAAAAAAGGTTAACGCTTTTCTAAAATATAAGATAGGAACCAGTATTATGGGCTAGTTTTAAAAACATATTATGGCAAGATATATATATATATAACATATATACACATACATACAGAAAAGTGCCCCATGCATGTAATTCTCACAAAGTAAATTCCTGTGTAACTACCACCAAGACCAAGAACGGGGGAAGAGCTAGCATTCCAGAAGCCTTCTCATGTCCCTTCCCCATCCATCGCCACCCTTCTCTTCCCCACAAGTTAACCATTACCCTCTCTCTTTTATGGTTGTCATTTCATCACTTTTCTTTCGAGTTTTGCCACCTAGCATGAGTCCCTAAACTATAGTTTTCCTAGTTTTTTTTTTTAACTAGCAAAGAACTCTACATTTTTTGTGTATCTGGCTTCTTCGGCTCAACCTGTGTATAAGAGCTGCATTCACACTGTTATAGCTATACAATATTCCCTTATATGAACACTCCCCCATTTATTTATCCATCCTATGACTGGTAGTCACCCTTGGCCCCTGCCAAGTTACGAATGAAGTTGCTGTGTGTGTGTGTGTGTGTGTGTGTACATATATATACATGTATATATTCACACACACACACGAATTTCTGTGAGGTATAGGAGTGGAAAATTGTTCCACTTTAGATAATATGAAACTGTTTACCAATCCTCACACCCACCAGCAGTGTGTGAGCCTAGTAGCTGCTCATCTCACTTTTCAGACTTTCTAACTTTAGCCTTTCTGGTGAGTATGTAGTGGTATTCACTGTGGTTTAATTTGCATTTCCTTGATTACTAATGAGATTAAGTACTGTTCTAAACATTTGTTTAGGATTCAGATACTTTCTTTTGGGAAGTCTTTAATCAAATCTACAATTTTTCTGCTGGGTTAATTACCTTATCTTTTTGTTTGGGTTTTCATATATTCTAAAATCCAGCCCTTGGTTGGTCATATTTGTTCATATCTTAGTTTGTTTTTCACTTTTAATGGCTTCTGATGATAAACAGAAGTTTTTAGTTTTAATGCAATCTAAATTTCTAAAAAATCCAAATTTCTTCCTGTACGGTTAGCTGTTTTTGTCTTACTTCAGAAATCCTCCCTTCTCTGGGGGAATGAAGCTATTCTCCCATGTCACCTTCTAGAAGCTTTATTGGTTGCCTTTCACATTTAGACCTCAGAATGATCTGGAATTGATTTAAAACTTTATACAATGGAAACTTCCAAACATATACAAAGGTAGAGAGAAAGAACAATAAGCCCCTACAAGACTCAGCCCTCAACAATTATTAAAAATTTACCAATTTTGTTTTATCTAGTCTACTCTACCTGTTTTCTTGCTTACTTAAATGGAAATCTCAGATATAAGGCCATATTTTAAAAACATAACCACCATGCTGTCAACCCTAACAAGATCAACAGTACATTATTATGAGGTGGGAACCATGTTTCATTTTCCCCAGTAGTGCCATCTAAGGCAGTGTTCGCCAACCTTTCGGACCGCACGGACCACCAGTGGTCTGCGGACCAGCGGTTGGTGACCGCTGATCTAATGGACTCAGCACCATTTATTAAAAGTACTGTCCTTCCCCCACTGAGTCAGCATCCTCTGCGTCATATATTAAGTGCCCGTTCTGTTCTGTTCTGCTGGTCTGTCGTCTTTCTTTATGCCACTTCCTTGCTTCTGAAATTCTTTTCACTTTACAGTGAGTCTTGATATCCAATAAAATCCTCCTCCCACTTCATTCTTTTTCAAGAATATCTTGGCTATTCTTAGTGCTTTGATTTTCTACATATGACATCTTTGCTGTTCTTCAATCCATGAAAGATAATGTTGGAAAATTTATTTAAGTCTTTTTCTTTTTCTCAACAGTGTTCCATAGTTTATGTTGACCTTTTGTAAATTCCTTGTATTTACTCCTAGAAATTAGATACTTTTCATGCTGTTGAAATGATAGTTTTTTACTTTTATTTTGCTTATTGCCAATACTATATACAAATATGCAATGTCTTACTTATATCCAGCTACCTTACTACTTATTTCTAGTAATTTTTCTGTAGATTCATTGGAATTTTCTGTATCCATCCATCTACATGAGTTATTGACTACAAAAATCACAGTTTTTAGTGATTGTCTCTCCCTTCCTTTCTAATATCAATTTTTTAAAAATTGACCTGACCATAAAAAAAAAAAAAATCATTCCCTCTGTTTCCCTCACTTCATGCTGGTAATATCCTGCATAGTGTGGGGTCTATCTTATTTTTAGCATTTAGGAACCATTCCTCACCCTCGCCGTCCTTTGCCCCATCTGCTCCGGGCCAATCTGTTCTCTCCGTATGGAAAACCATCCCGGCAGTTCCTTCAGACTTTGTGACTAATTTCCTATCGCTTGAATTTAGGTTCCTATCCCTATTGTCTTCGTAGAGAAAATCAGAAATAACCATCCAACTGACATAATATTAACTCCTTTCAGACATAAAATTGATGTGAATGTGACAATTATCAAATACCTTTTCATCCCGGAAATTTAGAAACTGCTGGAAAACCTCGCTTTCTGAAATTACCGGGTGCCGACACATCCTGGTCATCCATGCCTGAAGCCTCTCCATGCGCATTTTGATAAATTCTTCTTCAAAGCGACCTGCAAGGAATGCGCCGAGACGATGTACCACTTTGTCGAAAAGCTGTTTATGCAGCTAATGGCTACTTGGTGGAAAGTTATTAGTAAAAGGTAAACCATGGTGATTTTTCACTAACCTAAAAACGGGCAACAGCCCTAGCACATGCCTCAGATGCAGGCTTGATCCCTGGCCCTGGTTGGGGCTTGTGTGGGAGGCAACCAATTGATGTGTCTTTTTCACGTCAATGTTTCTCTCTTTCCTTCCCTTTCACTTGCTCTAAAAATCAGTGGAAAAATATCTTCAGGTGAGGATTCACAAAAAATAATATAAAGAAAAATAAAAACAAGTAACATATTGAATGCCCAAAGACCCACAGGAATGATACAATAGACTTTTTAGTTTATAAGAATGAAATTACAATGTAACAAGTCAACAAACCTTTTAATTGTGATAAGAATATTATAACTTCAAAGTGCTATTTTCCTCAAGGTTCCCTAAAGTATTTTAAAAATTTAAAGTAAATCTTATTTCAATATGAAAAACCTCTTTCTTATAAAGTAATATGTGGCCATATTAAGTCCTATTGACAAGAAAGAGGTAATATTGTTGAATTTATTAAGTAATTCTTATAAAAGTATATGAAATTTCTCTATTTATAAAAATGTGACCAAATGCAGTATAATCTTAGATATACAAATTTAAGTTTAGTACTTATGCAAAGTAACTCAGGACTGTAGCTTTTCCCCCCCCCCCAATATTATTTTTTAAGTTATTTAAACTGAAAATAGAAAAAGCAATTTTTCCATGAATAATGAAAGCTGCCATTTTTATAAGCCTACCAAACAAAACCACTATCAGTTAAAAGGCTTCCGGCAATGGAAATTCCAGCTACAGTCAAGCAAGGCAATCAGCTAACCCAGTCCCCCCAAATAACTATAAACCCAGACAAGCAAAGCAATCAGCGCTCTGGAAATCCACAGAAGGCCAACAGCCATCTGAGAAATGTCTGTTTGCAAAACTGCCATACTTCAGGCAAAAACAGTAGAAATCTGTGGCGTCTGGCTTGTGGCTGCTCCTGTCTCCCCTGCTGCCCCCACCCTCCCATCTCTGCTTGGCCGACATGGGGCGTCTGCCAGGATGGAGCAGGGTCTGGGGCGTGGGAGATGCCCATGCTCAGTGGTGGGGCAGTGACAATCCAGAGGCTGGTGAACAGGGAGGTCAACCGCTCCACTAGCCAAGGTTACGAGGTTGAGCCAAGACTTTCCAGGCGAGGCCGAGGGCAGAAACAGGGGAGACCTGCTGGGGGCCAGGCCAGGCATGCCCTCCCAGCCAACCTGAGGCTACACACATGGGAAGGAGTCACAAAAGGGGCCTCCAAAATGGAAAAACCAGGGCTAACTTGAAAAGGACCTGAGCTTTGAATTTGCTCCCCTACTCACTCACAGGTCCCTTGGCAGAGGACAGACACTCAATGGCCTGCGGCAGGTTCACCACCAAACACACAGACACTGGTGAACCCTAGGAAGCCATACTTAAAAAATAAAATAAATAAAACCGAGCTGCAGGAGAGACAGATTTCAGAGATTTAGCCTAGGCAAGTTACTTGTAAATCCACCAATCAAACAAACAAACCAAAGCAGAAACAACAACTTTCAGAGAGAAAAATCATAATCTAGAATTGTTAAAATATATTCTCCAAAATTTCAGTTTTCAACAAAAAATTGAGAGATTTCAAAGAAACAGCAAGGCATGGGCCATATGAGGAAAAAAGTAGTCAAGAGAAAATGTCTCTAAGTGTTCCCAGATGTTGATTTCACAACAAAACCAAAACAACAAAGAAGCTTCTATAAATATGTTCAAAGAACTAAAGGAAGCCATGTTAAAAAAAAAATTAAAGAAAAGTATGACAAGGAATCAACAAACAGAGATTCTTAAGAAGACAGAAATTATAAAAAAAGAATCAAAAATTTTGAAGTTGAAAATACAATAACTGAAATTAAAAATTCACTGTAAGGTTTTAACAGTAGATTCAAGATGGCAAAAAAATGAGTGAATATGAATATAAATAAACAAGTTATTTAATCTGAAGAACAGAGAAATACAACTAATGTAAAATGAACAGAGCCTCAGAAAACATCAAGCAGACCAACATTCTCATGATGGGAGAACCCAAAGGAGAAGGGAAAGAAGAAAAAAAATCTGAAGAAATAATGTGGGAAAATTGCCCAAATTTGATGGAAAACTTCAATTTACACTTCCAAGAAGCCCAACAAACCCCATGTAGGACAAATATAAAGAATCCACACCAAGATATAGCAGACTCAAACTGCTGAAAGACAAAAGAAAAATTTGAAAGCAGCAAGTGAAAAGCAATTCATCATCTATGGTGGGTGTGCGTGTGTGTGTGTGTTTGTGTCATGGTCTGGACAGCACCTGTATATGAAAGCACTTCAGATTCTGCACTTGCTAAGAGTAGAGATTCAGTACCACATAAGCTTAGGCTGTGCAGAAACAGCCTCATCTGTCGGATATAAGGGGGGACAGAAAAAGACCCGATAAATCAGCATAGACCTCAGTTATACCGACTTCCCCAGGATGACCAAGTGAATTACACCAAGAGTTCACAGCCTACGCACTGATTGATTCTTATTCTTCCGGAAAATTTCTGACATAGCTGGTTTATTTTCAAATAATTTCAGGTGTTATTTTGTGCTTGGTAAGATGTTTATAGCAGGTTTCAGAGAGTTTAGGGGAAAAAAGGGGGGGGGGGATTCCCCCTTTCCCATTTTTAATAACCTTACTTAGGTTTTCACTAAGCATGTGAACATGCCAGTTTTGCACCCAGGAGTAAAGCCAGATTCATTCAATATTATTTCACAAAACCCCAAATCTATGAACAAATGAGAAATGGTAGCTGTAGGTTTTTCAGGGACAGCTCAGCACATCCACAGAATGCGGTGACATCACATGCTGGCATTCCTATTCTGTCCTCCAGACTGAAGTGAAAGGGGAGTTTGTTTACACAGTAATGATCCTGTGCCATCGGGGCAGGAGGCAAGCAAGAGGAGGGAGACAGTGGCTTCTGTGCTGTGCAGTTTCCTCGGCACGTCTCCCAGGCAGTGAACCAAAGCTCAGCTCTCTGCACACGGCGGCGTTGCTTTCTGCTTTTCTATGACATCCCCCTGGCTTCGGGCCTGAACTTTTCTTTAAAAAAAACCCATACAAACCTTAATATGGGAACAGAACCATGACTCCACGATGCTTTAAAATAGCAGAGTTATCTGATTTAGACTAAACAATGTATTAAAACCTAAGTGATCTGAAAATTCCTCAGCCCTAAAATAACTCAGTCCACTTATTTCACATATTGGGCCAGTCAAGTTGATAAAGGAGAGTAAACATTCAGGAAACGAACTGCAATTGGAAAATATGGAGAAAGGCAGACTGAAGTTTTCATGGAAAGAAATCTAAAATTTTAAAAAGCAAGCTGTGATTTAAAGCAATAGGATAACAAAAGGAGGACTAGTGAACTGTGAACCGGGCACAGAACTAGGGGTACAGCGACCCCTCTGAGTGGAAGGAGGCAGCATTGCACACCAGCCTGGCTACCTTACACGGCTTCCAGTGGACTGTGCCCCGCCCCGCAAAGGGCTGCTCAGGGTCACCGGATGATGACCCGGTTTATGGGCCTGGCAATGCAGCCCCAGCCCCACTCCCCATTCTGCTGTGACAATTTGAAATTTTTGAAAATTAAAAAAAAAATCAAAATCCAAACAACTTTTTAAAAACATGTTTCCATCTCCTCAAAAAACTTCAGAGAAACAGAAAACAAAGTACAAGGTAACGTTTTAAGGAGAACAAACTTCTTATCCTAAGGTTCCTAATTGTAACTAAGATTAGTTGGTCCACATCTCATAATGTTAAACAGCGAGCTTTGGAATGAGATTCCGATTCCAATGCTGGGCAGGGCGCGCTCAGCGTTTCTGAACTGAGACAGTACGGCGACGTGTCTGGGCACAGAGACCCCGGCATGGAGGGATACACTTCACTACAGCACTGAAGTGCCCTGAGCCGCTCTGCATTTGGCTGGGTAGGATTCTCAGTTCCTCTCTACACTATTTATCTCAACTCTACGGGGTGAGGATTAAACCCTGTCCGGTCTTCTCTGATATCCAGGAAAGGAGCCTCCTTTGCAGACTCCACGTTCTGCTCTCTGGGTTGAGGTTAGCCTGCTGATGCCATCCCTTCTCTCAGAGGCCCTCTACCTCGGACCTTTAAGCCGTGCTCTCATCTTTGATCCTTTCCTTTCTATACTTACTAGTTCCATTTATTGGAAAAATTCCTACCTACATACTAAAACTCTTTCCAATCTTTAGTAAAGCTCAGCTTCTTTACAAACTTTTATTCTAAGAAAAACGTAACGAGTCCTGAGTACTAATTTTTCAGGTTTTATACTAGGAGATAAAAAAAATCAATGACAGTTTCAAAACAGACACAGAAATACTTTCCGACGGCACGTTATTAGGGGCTCTGGGAGCACACAGATTCCTGACCAGATTACTTGGGGCAGGGCAAGTGGGGAAAATGACACCTTAAATAAGTAAGAAAAAGCTGAGGGCTTCTCAGCGATAAATAAGAACATTTCACTATAAACAGTCACCTAGATAACTGGGCAGCTCCCTACCTAACAGTTGGAAGCTCTGTGGCTTCTAGCTCCGATGTCTACACACCTCTAATGCAAACAACACATCTGGACTGCAGGAAGTGCTCACACCATGGGGTCATAGATTTGCATTTCCACTTCAGGCTATTGGCTCATTTCTCAGGTATCATTTTAACATTCATGTACTTATTTTATAAGAAAGGGTGTAGCAATAAAGGCACAACAACTTTGCGAGAATTCAGGATATGTCTACAAGAACTCTGATAGAAAATTTTATGAGCCTTTCTTGTTAGGTGCTTAGGTAACTTCCAAATACATGCGCAGTATGTATAGTGTATGCAGCTACTGTTTCCAAACTCCTATAACTGGCTCCTCTAGAGGATGGAAAATGCCGTTACTGATTTACATCAGAAACTCTAAAAATGGGAAACTCTAAAAACTGGAGTCTTTTTACTTGTCATCCTGAGTTCAGCATCACACACACTCACCTGTGACTTGCTTGTCTGGAAGAGAAGGGATTGGAATGGCTGATCCAAACTTAACCAGGAGACGTTCATATAACCAGTCAAAGTGCTTATACCTGTGGTTTACAGATCGATTAGTATTCTACAAAATAAGGGAAAGAGGAGAAAAGTTACCATGCCAATTACAGAAAATGAAGAAAAAAGCCAATTCTAACTGGTGACAAGCTTTTGATAACTCGGATACTTACAGTGGGCGTTAGCTGATATTCAATGTAGCTCTTCAGCCCATACATTTTGGAGCCTTTCCTGGGATCTGCTACCACACAGTCAAAGGTAGAGGTAGGATAAACCCACATCGGGCCATAATCTCCAACCTACACAACGTTTCAGGGAGAGTTAACTTCGTTACAAGGAAAACTCACAAATAAAATTGATGTAAGTCATCAAAGGTTCTCTTTAGGGCTGGAAGTCCTTTGGAGGGTGGCTCCTGCCCTTGTTTGAGGGTTCCATAAACGTTCTCTGTTCCTGTTGAGGCTCTATGTGAAGAACACACTCGCCAACAAATGCTTCTGTTCCTCCTCCGGGCACTCCAGGCCACGCGGGAGAGGCCTGTGTCCCTCCCTCTGGGAACGCTGGGCAGAACACAATTTTTCTCTCTCTGGTCCAGCTGTCTTAGTTATATGTATAAAGGGCTAGTTTAAAAAAGTTCTCATATCTCATGGGTTGATAGTTTGTGAAATAAAAATTACAGCCTTGTATGTCTGAAAAATGTCGAATTGCCATCACACTTTCTCATTTTCTGTATACCCTGTCCTATTTCTTTTTAAGGGTGGAAGGAAGAAAAAGTGGGGTGGGGGATGCAAGTTCAGAGGCTATTAGGTCAGGATGATGACTGGGGTCCAGAGAATTTAATAAGGGACTAGAGAGAAGATCTCTGACAACAAGTCACTCTACTCCCCAAGTGGGAGTCCTGGTCCAGAAAACCCCTAGAGCTGCAGAGCAGGGATCTCTAAGGGGAGCCTCTGGGGAACTTGCCACAATCACAGCACTGAGAGCAATTCTGATCGACTACTGCTCACTACACATGGGTCCCGTTGTATCAGTGGGGATGGTTACTGTGCCTTAAAAGCAAAGAACCAGGTCTCTACTTTCTCTCGGTTTCCTGAAGACGAATGGCTGTCCTGGGCTTCCTTTTCCACACAAGAAGCCCACACAGGCAGTGCGCCTGCAGGGCACACGGCCAGTTCTACCTAAGACTTTTGGTACATATGCTGGGGTCCTTCAGCTCTATTCCACCACTGCCACTCTTGTGACAAAGTCCCCTTTGCGAATCCAAGGGCAGGGCCACGGGCTCTTAACTGTGTGGAGTTTTAAATTTAATGAAAAAAACAAAACAAAAACAATGATACATGTTCAGTATTTACAAAAGGTCTGAAGAAAAAAAAGAAAAATAACTTTTAATCTAATGATGACATTAAGAATATCTGTTTTAGAATAGCTCAGAAGATAATTACCCCAAATTTGCTTTGAGGGAAGAAGGAAAAAAGGGGTCTAGGTCACATCCCTTCCCTCTGGAGATTTCTAGGTTTCAAAGATGTAAGAACAAGTAATAAAGGAAGTCCAGCATCATTCTTGCAATTTTATCAAGTTTCCTAGGAGATTATAGAATAAGACCAGATGTTTCCTCCTCCTTGTTTGAGTGTAATGGTGATTACACTCAAGGTTCCCCCATCTCGTAGTTACAGGGGTAAGTCAATAGGGTCAGAAGGTAGCCACAGTTCTCTTTTCCAGAATTTTATCTGGGAATATCAGCTATATAATGCTTTGACAGAAAAATCTATCAGCAATCAACGTTTGGGTGAAACTAAAGAGCCAGTACATGTGATGTAATAATCAAGTTATTATAAGACAGATATTCTTAATGGTGTCATTACTCCCAGCTTTTATTTGCCAGCTCCTTATTATGACCTGAGAGCAGGTTTACTGGAAGAAAGACTAATTATATCAACTTAGTGGAAAAGACGCTTTATTCTGATAACATGCATGGACTTTGCAAGGCAGAAACCTAAATATTTGAATTGGGTTTATTAGCCAAATAGGTAGGGCTGGTAGAAAAATAGCATGTAAAAGATACTTCAAGACACCATACCGACAAAGAATTATTAAAAATACATATACTAAAGGGTGTTGTTGGTTCAATTACTAAATCTGAAAGGTAAATGTAAAAAATATCTAAACAATATAATGACAGGCATTAATTTATGCTAATTATCTTTAGTACTTTAAAAATACTAGCACATACTATCAGTTATTTACAGCATTAAATGTGTTTAGAAATGCTCCAAATAACTAATAATCCTCTTAGCTTTAAGGCATATAAGAGAGCTTAATCAGAAACACAGCAAACAAACAAAAATGAACAAACTTACAATGATAGGAATTTTCTCTTTGGGTTTTGCTAGTTGCTTAGTCAACAAATACTGTTCCATCCCAGGTTTTGCAAATCCCGGAAATCTAATCATGAAGACAAATGTTCGTGAGTCTTATGACTTTCTTAAAAGAATTATACGGCTCTCATCCACATTTACTTAATACGACAACTTTAACCTTGTCTGTCTCACAGATGTACTAGGACTAGGAAACTATGGTAAATGAAACCTAAATTAATCAGATTGTGTGACGGCCAATTAGTCATTTAATTAAGCTTTATCTGGTAAGAGAACAGTTTGACTCCAGAAGGTGTGATATTTATGGCACTCCATTTGCCTAACTGGACCTGAAACACTCTATCACCCCACAGAGTGAAGGACACACCAGAAAAGTGTCCCCCATGTCACAGGAGGAGATGCTACCGAGCATACCAACGGGGTAATGGCCACACACAGCATTTCTAGATCCAGATTAAAGCTGCCTTTCCACATACTCCCTCCTCAGGGAAGCCACAATTATCCCAAAGAAGCTGCCACCGTCCATGAGCGCTTGTGCTATTTCCTTTGGGAATAGCCAAAAGAACCAGTTTTTGCAACACAAAAGAAAACCAGTCTTCTTACTAGAGACCTAAAACATAATAAAATTGGTTACTTCCAGAAATCAAATCTAAATCCAAAGCAAATTTCTAAAATTGGAGAATAGCTGGAATACATGCATAGCCATCCAAAGTGCTACTTCTAAAAAAGACAAGATTAGTTTGGGTTTTAGAAATTTTTGTAGATGCAAATTAGAACTGCTTTAATTTGGTTTCAAAATGGAATGAAATTTTAGAGCAGGAAATTCTTATAAAGTCAACCCCTTCACTTTAGAGATTAGGCGACTGAGGCTCAACCAGACCTTCCAACTTCTCCAATATCATACAGCATATTAGAGAGCCAGCAGGAGCAGTGGAAAGAAAGCACAGGGCAGTGGAGCCACGGGCCTGGGCACCAGCCACAACCTCACTTTCTAACCACAAAAACCTGGCAGAAAACTTGGCTAGTCATGTGACGCAGTCTCTACTTCCTCATTTTCAAACTGGGACAAAGAGATACATTCTACTGAAATGGATTTTAAATATACTCTGTGTTCAGGTTTAAAGAACAGCAGCGAGTAATACACATCTCTACTGACCATACTGAAAACTTCAAATTTGACTCTAAGAAACAGGATACCATCAATAACAAATGACTAATTTTATTATACAAGCAACTGAGCATGAAAATACATAATAGAAGAAACTAGACCAGCCGTGGGCAAACTACGGCCCGCGGGCCGGATCCGGCCCGTTTGAAATGAATAAAACTAAAAAAAAAAAAGACCGTACCCTTTTATGTAATGATGTTTACGTTGAATTTATATTAGTTCACACAAACACTCCATCCATGCTTTTGTTCCGGCCCTCCGGTCCAGTTTAAGAACCCATTGGGCCCTCGAGTCAAAAAGTTTGCCCACCCCTGAACTAGACGGAGAGGTAGGAAAAGTGGGTAGCTAAAAGATGACATTTAATCACTGATGCTCATTAACTATACTAAGGGGACTTGTAGGGCTTATTAAACGTATGCATATGTGTGTAGATCTAGAACTGGAGCCTGATAACTAGATACAGATATCAAACATGTTGACAATATTTTTCCAGACACAGGTTTATGTTCCTTGGTATCTGCTTGGAATCATGGACTTGGAACACCGAGAAACAGTATCAGTAATTTTAGAAAATAAAACTATTTTAAACATAAGAAAGAGCACTCTGCTGTAAGAAAGAGCACTGGGAGATTCGTATGGAAGTCAAAATTATATCTCCTTCAAGCTACACAGTGTTAACTACAGACTATCCAGAACTCTCTACCAAGCAATGCTACAGTGCTCATCCATATTTACCACATGCTTTCCTGTTAAACAGTGCATCTACAAGTACTGCTCAAAACTTTTTTTTTTTAATCTAAGAGAAAGCTAGGTGAAAACAATATTAATCACCTTAAGCATTGTAGTCTAGAGCATGTACTTAGGAGACTGAGGGACTGGATTGGAATCCTGTGTGAGTCTGGGCAGTTACTTAACCTCTCTGGGCTTCAGTTTTCCCCACAGAACAGAGATTACATGTACCACAAGGGATATGAGGGTCTCATGAGAATGTATACAAACCGCTTGCACAATGCCTGGCAATTCGGTAAGCAATCAATGATCAATAAATAATAAAACATTTAAAGAGAATTAGTTTTGGTTTTCCTGTGACATCAGTAAGGAAACCTTAATACACCCTGGAGTTGATAAAGGTAAAAACAGTGTTTGCAGATCATTAAAATTTAGGACAAATATTTCCTTTAAAATGAAAAAAATCCCTATACAATAAAAGGCTAATATGTTAAGTGTCAGTCTTCCATTCAACCAATCAAAGCATAATATGCTAACGATATGCTAAGGCCACTCAACGGCTCGCTATGACGTGCAATGACCACCAGGGGGCAGATGCTCTGACCAATAGGTTAGCTTGCTGCTGGGGTCCGGCCGATTGGGACTGACCAGACACGCCCTGGAACCCTCTTGCGGTCCCTCCCAGCCCCGATTGTGCACCGCTGGGGTCCCTCGGCCTGGCCTGCACCCTCTTACAATCCAGCCTAAGGTGTCCCCCCCCTCCCAGTGCATGAATTTCGTGCACTGGGCCTCTAGTATTAAAACAAGCTACCAAGCTAAGATCCAAATAAAAGTGAGCAAATTACAAAACTTTGTAAATCACTGGAAAGAGAAAAGGCCTCTTTGTATCTTGTGTCTATTCCTACTGAGTTCCTGTGCCTTGACTCCCTTTAAACCTACTTGTTAAGTGGCAGCTTCATGGACGAGGAGCCAGGACGACTGTTTCCGCGCTGACCACCTCCTGCTTCGGCCGCCTCTGAATCCTTGAAGTAGGGAGATGTGGACTTGGGGTCGTCCCAGTCTTCGTCCCAGTCATCATCGTCACCAGTTGCTAGGAGTGGGCACCAAAGATGGTCAGTGAAGAAAAACAAAATAAAAAGGGAATGATTTAATTTTAGGATAAAAACTACCAACTGGGTTGACCAATTAAAAAAAAGGAGAAAAGGGGTGTACTATAGAAGTATGAAGTAGACATGAAGAATATAGGCTCCGTAGTCAGTCATAAGGCTTGAAGTGTAGAGTCTGCCTTTTAGCGTCAAGAGGACTGTCACATTAATATGAAGTTACTATAAAAAATGCTACATGGTACACAAGGAAAGGTCTTCTAGAGGCCCATACATTGATAAATCTAGCGTTATAAACTCGCAAATAAGCAGATCAAACACCCTTAAAGTCAAGAAGATTGGGGAGGTCTGGCCAGTGTGGCTCAGTGGTTGAGTGTTGACTTATGAACAAGGAGGTCATGGTTTGATTCCCAGTCAGGGCACATGCCTGGGTTGTGGGCTTGGTCCCCAGCAGGGGGCATGCAGCTGATCAATGATTCTCTCATCATTGACGTTTCTATATCTCTCTCCCTCTCCCTCTCTGAAATCTATCTATCTCTATATCTATCTATGTACCTATCTATTTATCTATCTATGATTGAGGAGGACAAAAGGTATAATAAAGCTCTTAAAAGAAATTATCACTAGTAACAATAAAGGTGAGAGAATTGTGATGAGGGGAGAAAGATGGAAAGAAACAGGGTGGGGATGGCGGAGAAAGGAAAGAGAAAAACGAGAGACAGGAGTACAACCAGCACTAGCAGCCTAACAGCAGTAGTCTGTGTGCCAGGTAAGGTGCTGCCAGCTCTCCTGCTCCCTTCCTCACCACAGTCTGACTGTCTCCCACCTCTGGGGGCCTGGCATGTCCTTTCGCTATTAGGCAGGAAATGGCCCTGGCATCTCTGCCTTAAGAGTGCCACAACGAAGAGGCAAATGCCAAAACAGAGAAGAAAAGAACAGAAAGTATTGGAAGGATCTGGGCCAAGTTTCCTGGGGCCGTGCCACGTTACTAAGAACTGCACGTCAGCAGTCTGGTCTCAACATTTCTACTCAGCCCAAGACTCCCGGTCCTGCCAATAGTCCCGGTCCTTCTACAAGGGGAGCTTAGGACAAGTACCTGAGCCCCAGCTCCCGTGTGTAAGCCCCTCGCCAGTTAGCACATTCAATTCCTGGCACAATGTGCTTATATAGGAATCATAAAAAATGATGAGCAGATTTTTATCTTATTTAATTTCAGAACCGACATAAATATCCTTCCTTAATTGTTTCCCGGTCTATAAATTCCTCTTCTGCCTCAATATTTCCTTGATAGCCTGGCAGTCAAACAGGAAAGGTAGTTAAGGAAAAGGTGAAACAGCTGGTCAGAGATCACAGCCTGGCAGGTGATACACCATATTTCATCTGTATACACGTTTGTTTTTAGCCTAAGATTTAAAAGAAAATACATGTGTGTTAAATGCCAAGATTTTAAAGTGTTCTTTTGCTTTATGAACCTGGCCCCTGCAAACATGTGACTCCTTGACAGATAACTGAGATTGGACTAATGATCATAATTAACAGCTACCCACAACAGACCCAGACTAACAGGTTGGCTATTACCGAATAGGAGCACCTGAGAGCAGCTCCTGGTATTTTTTTTTTAAATGAAATTTATCTTTTATATATATATATATTTTATTGATTTTTTACAGAGAGGAAGGGAGAGGGACAGAGAGTTAGAAACATCGATGAGAGAGAACCATCGATCAGCTGCCTCCTGCACACCTCCTACTGAGGATGTGCCCACAACCAAGGCACATGCCCTTGACCGGAATCGAACCTGAGATCTTTCAGTCTGCAGGCCCGCAGGCCAACGCTCTATCCACTGAGCAAAACCGGTCAGGGCAGCTCCTTGTATTTTTATTCCGATGCCCTAGTCCCCAGTGGAGCCCTCTTCCTCACCTGGTCCTTGGTAGGCCTGGGGATGGCCAAAGGTGGTGTCCCAATTATTGGCAGTGTTTTTCTGGGCTGCAGTCCCCTCTGCCTTGGCTCCCCAGCCATCCGTGCTGTCCCAGTTTCCAGATTTGGAGGCACTCCAGGCTGACCAGGGGTCATTGCCACTGCTGACCTGTTGTTAGGGGTAAAATAGGAGAAAGAATATTTGTGACTTCTAGAAAGCATTGCTCAATTCCGTAGGAATCACATAACAAATGAATGCAATAGGAGTGCTGAAAGAAATTAGTAGAAATTTACAATTTTAAATGTAAATAATAAAAAATTGTAAACATGTTGGAAAGCACAAAAAACAGCATCAACCGGATTTTATTGATGTTAACATTTTGCCTTTATTTGCTTAGGAACTTTACAACCAGCAACAAAGAAACTGCTTGACTAGCACCACACCCCCTCCATGTCTTCTTCTTCCCCAATAACTTCTTTTCTAACTGAAGTCATTCCTGTGTATGTTTATATGCTGCCACTGCATATGTACACATTCATAAATAACTGTTTTGTAGTTTCAAAACTGAGCTAAACAACATTATACTGTATGTATCTATTTGCAACTTGTTTATTTTTCACCTAACATTATGTTTTTGAGATTATACATGCTAATAATGAGGATTTTTTTTCACTTTAACTGGTTTAAAGAAATCAGTTGTATTTTCATTAGGCTTTTACCTTAATCTGAAAAAGTAATACATTCCCAGCAAAAAAAAATTTCAAACAGAATAAAAAGACATGGAGTTTTAAAATATGTCTACTGCCCTAGCAGGTTTGGCTCAGTGGATAGAGCTTCGGCCCGAGGTTTGAAGGGTCTCTGGTTCTATTCTGGTCAAGGGTACGTACCTCAGTTGCAGGCTCGATCTCCAGCCCCAGTGCGGAAGGCAACCAGCCGATGTCTCTCTCTCTCATATAAATGTCTCCCCCCGCCCCCCTCCACTCTCTCTAAAATCAATGGGAAAAATATCCTCGGGTAAGGATTAACATACACACCATCTTAAGATGCCGTCATTCTCTTAAAGACAGCTACTACTAACAAACCCTTACATACACTTGCTCCAACATCCCATGCATAGAGATCCTTTGTGCTTTTAAACATGTAAGTGAGCCCAAATGACACTCTCTGCTCTGCACGTTTGTTTCCCCACCTAAGAGCCTGAGACGCTCTTCAAGGTGCGTCAACATCTGGGGGCCTTTCTTTACACGGCTCCAGAGCTCCACTGCATTTACCCCATAATGTAACCAGCACATGGCGATGCTCATTAACCTTGTTTTCAGTATTTTGTTCCTGTAAATAAGACTGCAATGCACATCCTTGTACAGCCTTCCCACGTGTGCAACAGACCTTTGTGAAATCCCCAAAGAAACACTGCTGGGCTAAGGAGACTGTACGTTTAGAATCAATGGATTTTGTCAAACTGCGCTCCAAAGAGACTGCTGCCGTTATATCCCTAGATTCCTGACATGCCAAGGAATTCTGCCTGGCATAAAGGTGGGCTACCACATCCCCAAATTATTTTAAAAACATTTTCTCCCATTATTGCTTTGAGTAGTTTAATTATTGTTATAAATAAAATTTTTGAACAGGCAACACATGGCACCCGATTGCAAGGAACATGGCAATAAGAGGCCTATAGCCCACCTCTCGCCCCTTCTGTACCACCTGTGAGTCAAACACGCTTGTTTTTGGTTTTGTTTCCTTGATTTAAAAATTTAAATCTTTAATCTGTCCGGAACTTACTTCAGTATAAGGAATAAGATAGTAATCCAGCTTAATTTTTCTTGTAGTCTGTCTGTTGCCCTATCATTTAATGATCCATCTCCCCCCACTGATCTGAAATGTCCCCTCCATCACATACTGGACTGGGACCCATTTCTAGGCTCTCTACTGTATCCTAGGAACCATCTGTACTAGTACCAAGCTACTCTGAAGCTCAATAGATAGAATACCATTAGTATTTTAGTATAGCATTTTTTATCAATTTATTTTTAAACAAACTTTCATCAGCTTAATATTTTAAACCTAAAACAATGTGAACTTTAGCACTAGAGTGTCAACATTTTAAAAAATGCCTTGATTTTCATTTCAATCACCTTAAATTTATAGATAAATTCAGGGAAAACAAGTAATGCCTTAAAAAACAACAACACAATTTTAATGTTGAATCTGTTTATCCAAGAACATGAAATAGCAATATCTCGCCTTCACTGGAGTCTTTTTTCCCACATGAAAAAAAAATTGGTGTGTGGGGGGGGGAGAGATAGAGATAGAGATATATAGATATTTACAAGAAAATTTCCCAAACTGTTTAATATACCTTTTTAATGTTTTAGAACCCTATAATGTTGGTCTTTGTTTACTCTTCACTGACTGAGAGATGGGATGGATAATTGGCTACCACATACCAGAAACATAAAAAGCAGAATATATGTTTTACATATGGAGTTATGATTTCTGAAGTTACTAGTGATTCTGCTCTAAGGTAAATATTAATAGCAGAAAGCCATTTCATTCATACGACTGTGAATTTCTCCAATACATGGCTCACAAGGTAATACTTTCAAGCTACTCTAGTGAAGACTGGAAATAAAGGCAGATACTGAGGGCGGCACAATTAGGAACAGAGCTTCCCTCTAGTCAGGCTGCGGGGGTTACAATCCTGGCTGTCCCTCTTTAGCTGGGCAGCCTCAGCTAAAATTTGAACCCAGGCAGCCTGACTCGGGTTCTGAAAGACCAACAGAACCTAAATGAAGTAAACTGTGAAGGAGCAGAGGGTTATAAACTAAAGCAATAGAAGGGTAGGAGCTCAGCACTGCCATGATGATAAGATTGTTAGTGTCAGCAAAGTGTCAAAGAAAGATTTTCATCAATACTGGAGAAAACGGAATGTGACCTATTCATAGCAAGTATCCTAAAAGATTTAAAATTTAGGACAGAAACATATAACATGATAATTCTCTTTAAAACCACTTTGTTCACAAAATGCTTATAATAATTGCTACATTATTTGGTTATGTATATGATCTTAGCTCTCTATCTAGAGCAGCCGTGGGCAAACTACGGCCCGCGGGCGGATCCGGCCCGTTTGAAATGAATAAAACTAAAAAAAAAAAAGACCGTACCCTTTTATGTAATGATGTTTACTTTGAATTTATATTAGTTCACACAAACACTCCATCCATGCTTTTGTTCCGGCCCTCCGGTCCAGTTTAAGAACCCATTGTGGCCCTCGAGTCAAAAAGTTTGCCCACCCCTGATCTAGAGTATAAAATCCCTGTAGGCAAATCTAGTAATGGTTTGCTTCTCTCTCTGTCTTTTGTTATTTTTCCTGGAACTTTCTATCTTGTTTCAAACTTTCCAAACCAGAAATCTCTCCAGCTTCTCTCATGGACTTTTTACTGGCGCGCGCGCTCTCGCTCTCTCTCTCTCTCTCTCTCTCTCTGATGACCGTTTACTGACTTCCAGAACCCTCTTCTAATATCAATACCTAAAATCAGCTCACACAGTCTGTCTAGTCCTGTCCTCTCTGAGCCCACCGTTCTCTGACTCCTTTGCTTTCAATCCCCCATCCCCGTGGTCTCTCAGCTGCAGACGTCTGGTCACACACTAACCAGGGGTCCTCAAACTATGGCCCGCGGGCCACATGCAAATACAAATATTGTATTTGTTCCCGTTTTGTTTTTTTACTTCAAAATAAGATATGTGCAGTGTGCATAGGAATTTGTTCATAGTTTTTTTTTAAACTATAGTCCGGCCCTCCAACGGTCTGAGGGACAGTGAACTGGCCCCCTGTTTAAAAAGTTTGAGGACCCCTGCAACCCATTCTGCTCCTCCCTACAGTTTCAACTCTGAAGTGCCTCTTCTCTACCTTCTTCAGCTTTCCTTCCTCTCCTTTCTCCCCAGCAGTGTCTTCATCCTCTTCTTTAACCTCTTTATGGTACCAAACCCTTCCTGGCTCTCAACCACGTCATTAAAAACCCTTCACTAGCTCTCACTGACCATGGAATAAACTCCAAGCTCCTTTGTCCACCCACCAAGGTCCTACCTTTTCCTCCCATGACATTCCCCAATCTTACTGGCCATTAACCTTCACCTCTGTGCTTCAACCTCCTGTTTCCCAAACTCTCCTACATCCTTGCCTTTGCTCAGGCTATTCTACCGACACACAGAGCCTCCTCCTTCATCTTCCAGAACTCGGTCAAAGTCCTACTGCACTAAGGGCTCCGGTCTCAGCCTGCTAGCTCGCACTGTCACACCTTGTATCCTCCCAAAGCTAGTCTTTAAGTTAGAATCCTTTGTGTATCAGGTGGTCCTCCCACTAGTAAGTCACAGGTACAGGCCTATCTTATTTAGAAAACACTTTCCCTTAAGATTTTTTTGAGTGGCGAAGACTAAACAAATTTTTTTTTAACTTAAAGTGATTAAGTATGATGTTCTTAATCATTTGTATGAAATATGTATTATTCTTTGTCAGACATGTAACCTTCATAACATCATTTCACAAAGAGGGAAACTGGATTTTCCTTATGTACGCTTGAGTCTTTTCTAGGAAAATAACCTGCTGTGGTCGATCACAGATTAACACATTGCAGATGGATCATGAGAATTCTCCATTCGTATTACACAGTGTTTTACAAAGTAGCAAACTCCCAAAGCGTGTTTGTCTGGGACCTCTGTTATATATGCATTTTCATCTGCCTTGCCTTACCCCTACACCAACTAAATGAAGTGCTCCTTAAGGCCAGAAACAATCTACTCAAACAGTTGCTGATTTAGCACTCTAAATTTAAAAGCTATCCTATCCTCTTAAAACAAACACAGAAATACATTTACACTGGCTTTATATAATGAGAATTATTTAAATCTAGTTGATGAAAGGATTAAAGCATAAGCTGAATGTCTTCAGAAAGAAGACTGGCTTATACCTGACTGGAGAGCCAGAAAGACCACAGAATGTAGTCAGAATGCCCATGCGGAATGGGCAGTGATGGGTTTTCTTGATAACTGCAGGAAGCTGTGGGTCTTACAAATACATAATATGGGATAAAAAGGGACAAGGATTCACTGGGTGAATTTTAAATCCCAGGGACCAAGGATTCAATGGAATTTGATTCAAGTAAATTTCACATAGGTACAGTGATTGAGAACTTAAACTTGGGCTCTAGAGCTGTCTGTCTGGGTTTGAACACCAGGATTATCACCTACAAGCTGTTTGAACTTGGCCAAGTTACTCCATCTCTCTTAGTTTCCACACTTATATAATGGGCACAATAATATTAACTTCCTCATAGGGGCTTTATAAGGATTAGATGATACGATGTATGTAAAGCATTTAACACAATATGTGGCATCAGGAGAGGTTATCTTATTATGGGGGTGGGGGGAGTGCCATCTAAATATAAAGACAAGAATGAAGACTGGCAGTCCTTTGAATAAATCGCAGTATGACTAGTATACCTATTGTATATGCTTTAGAAGAAAAGATCAAAAGTTGTATTTCCAATTGGTTTCAATGCCAGAAACTTTGTATTAAAGAGGTAATAACAAGCACCAAGATGCTTTCTCTTCCAGCCAAAGATGTTTCCTTAAGCTACACAAAGGACAGAGAAAGAGGCAGAGCTGTCTCACCGACAGTTCAACAGCAGCTCCTAATTCTCGGGGCTCTTGGCACAAACATGTTCTGAGTGCTAAACCTGAGATCTTGGTTTCTTCAAAGCCTAACCTAACCGCTACTGTAACAAACTGGGCTACAATGATCTGCTTTCATGACAATCCTTTGGCCTCTGACTTCTTTGCTGTCAATCCCAGTAACCCCCTTAGTCCCTCAAATGCAGGCATTTGGTCACACACTAACCCCTTCTGCTCCTCCGTAAGGTTTCAAGCCCTGAGGCACCTCTTCTCTACTGTTCCTTCCTCTCCTTTATCCTCAGCAATGTCTTCCTCTTCTCCCCCCCACCCTCCCTTTATGGCACCAAATCCTCCCTGAAATTCATCCACATCCTTAAAACTCTTCTTGAGACCTCACTGCAGTTCCAAAGGCTCCAGGTGCCCCAGAAGAGCTGTGTCAGATACTTTACCTGAAACAATGACCTCACTGGGAAAAGGTATTACTCCTTGGGATTTTAAATGTTTATTTCCTTTTGCATTTAAGTTTAAATTTTACCTTATTTATGGAAGAAGGAGGAGAAGGAGAAGATGAAGAAGGTGGTGACTGGCTGAGACTTTCAACACAACCAATCTGAGCCAAAATATCCACCTTAAAATAAAAATGGTGCTCAGTAAATGAAGAAAAAAACAAAGAGTATACCAAAGCTCTTAACTAAAAACAGCAAATTCATAGCAGGGCTAAGTTTCCCAGGAAATTCCAGCATGCCCCTCACTCATACACATTACATGCAAAAAGCAAAGACCAATTGTGAAGCAATGGGCTACCTTCAATGCATTAGCATATATTCTAAAGACTTGTGGCTGTCATAATGCAGTATCTCTGAAGCACTAAAAATAATTATTTATAGTACAGAGGAAATGGAACAAATATCATGCAAGTAACACAGCCAACGAAAGAAACTCCAGAGAAAAAACATAGCCAAGCTTTTAATAATGTTAAGATGTTGAACCTTTTGCTTTCACAGCCACCAGATACATGAGAGAGTGAAGATGAGATGAACAGCCATGGGGTTGACGTGAAGCAAGCTCAGAGCCATGATGACCCCACCAAACCCAGCCGAGGGCACCAAACAGCCTGCCCAGGCCGTGAACTCAGGAGCAAAGGTCTTCTGGTCGGTTCCCGAGGCTCTGACCAGCTCAGTATGCCGCATCGCAGTGAAAAAAATAATGGATACACTCCCACTGAGCCAATCGAGGCCAAACCGGGATCACTGTTAAGAGGACAACTTTGGAGTCTAATTTCCAGGCTTCAGATCCCAGCTCCCCAACTATCTAGGCAAGTCAATGCCATTATTTAACATTTATAGTTTTGTGAGAATGCACTTTTTGGTACAACTGTCTTGCAAAGTGGTGGCATTATTTCCATTTTATAGATATAGATAAACTTGGTTAAACCAAGTAATATGCAAAAGTAGGCAGTCAAGATGGAGTAACTGGGATGCAGTTACACTTCCACTTAAAACTGAAAAATAAAATTGACAAAATATATGAAACTGATTTCAAATCACTGGACGTAAGGCAATAAAGGACCTGCTCCCTCCTGAAGAGACTTTTGAGGCCACGGATCAGGGTGGGAAATGCACACAAAGCCCAGCGGACTTCGAGTTGCGGAGACAGCTGGGAGTCTGGGCAGAGGACCGAGGGGGGAGATGTGACTGACTGAAGGAGACCTCAGGTCTTGGGCTCAGTTCTGACCAGAGTATGCAGGTGAGAAAACTACCACATGAGAGGGTTAAGTACCAATCTCTCCCATATGGCCCTTCTCACCAGCCAGAATTGAAAACCTCATCATTCATATCATAGGGCCCTGGGTACAGAACTGAAAAGGGTTTTGCTTCCCTGGAGGGGCAAAATGTCCTTAGACTAAATGTTGCTCTGATCTCACTTTAAAATGTTTAAAAAATAAGACGTGAAAGGATTAAATTGTTTCTAAGTAACTTACCTGCATGCCAGAACAAGGATAGAAAGTATCTATGGGAATACAAAACTATCCAGCATATAATAACAAGATAAAAATCACAAATGTCTGGCATCCAATAACAAATCACCAGGCAAGAAAAGAAGCAAGAAATTAAGACCCATAAAAAGAGAAAAATCAATCGAAGCTGACCCAGTAATAACAGATGATAGAATTAGCAGTATTTAAGAGCAAGAAAAATTTCAAATATTGACATTAGAGGAGACACTTTGAATGGGCTAAGAAGTGACAATTTTAAGCATAAGTGGGGAAAAAAAAACACTCTAGTAATTCCATGTGTCCCTAATAATACTTGAAAAAATATAGAAAAACTCATTTGTTGCTATTTGAGGCAGCTATTAAAACAACTTCTTACTTCGAAAACTGGCAATTAAAGGGAAATAATTAGACTTCTGTACTGGACTCCAATAGAAACTTTTTCAAGGTAGCTAACGAGCGTCAGTTGATTGAAGAAGAAAGCCAGCTCCATAAACATGGAAGGATAGCAGTACTGACTCAGGCAGGCAAGGATTACCATTTGGTGGTAAACGCTAAGGCGAATGGTTATAGCATTACATTAATACCAGACAGACTGCTTTATGGGCATATGGAGAAACTGTACCTACATAATGGGAGCACAAGACTATGATCAACCTGACCCAAGGTCATTCTGATCAATAATGGTGGGCTGACCAGATATTATGTCTTCTGAAGTGATGCAGCATGAATATACAAAATTACCCATAATATATTCTTGCCCAAAGTATTCAATGTGCATCCTTAGAGCCTTTAGGTACAACTTCCAAGTTTACAAATAAGTAATATAATTTACGAGTCTGAAACAGTGCTACAAGAATCGAGAGGGAGCAAAGGGGAGAAGAAAAAACAAAGACTTCTAGAGGAGATAATATTTGATTTGAACCTTACGGGTTGGGCAGACTTCTGAAAGATGGAAGGAGTCATTCTATCATTCTTGGAAGAGAACAAAGATACAAAGAAAAGATGGGGTAGCATAAGGCATATTTGGAGAACAGCCAGTTTGGCTGGAGCCTAATACATAGTAAGGATAAGGTAAGGACAGGGCCGCGTTGAGGAATCATAGAAGTATAACTGAGATTGGAAAAGTATCTAATCCTACCTCAAATTCAGGTGAATTTCTTACACAATTTCCTACCATGCACTTCAGTGTCTGCTTGGTTATACTGACTGATAGGATAGTGACTACCTCCTCCACAACTCTTTCTCTTTGCATGTAGAAATGGTTACTTGTTTCAGGACGCAATGGGGGAGCCCCTAAATGTATTATTATAGAGGCAGCAGTGTATAAGATAGTTGTAATGAACAATTATTAAATCCCTACTGAGTACCAAGTACTGTTCTCAATACTTTATAACTATTTTTCCCCTTACTCTTTCCCACAATTCTATGAGGTTTTACTGATGAGGAAACTGAGGCACACAGAACCTAAGTAGTTGAAAATATATAAAGAAATAACATTCCCTAAAGCCCATTCACTCTAAAGATGTAGGCAGCAATAATATTCTGATATCCATTCTTTCAATTTTCTTGTCATTCACTATGGATAATCAATTAGCAATAACTGTACTAGGCAGCATCACCTGAACTGATATTTTCATTAAAATCAATGTAAAATTACAGTGTAGTTTTCCCACTGAATTATCCCACTGTTCCAAGTTTCCTAGAAGCAATACAATAACAGCACCAAGTGCTAAGAGCTGGATTTGCAGCCACTTTTCCCTGTGCTGCGTCTGCGAGAAGAGGGAGCTCCAGCTGAGTGTGTAAGCAAGGTGCCAAGGTCAGACAGGTCGCTTCCTGTCCCAGCCAGAGCTTTGACACTGACCACCTCAGCACAGGACCCTTCTTTTCTTTCCACACCCTCACTTGACAGGGTATTCGCAACTTACAGGGTCTGTGTTCAGATCATGCCAGACTTTTCAAGGCAACTCTTGATGAACGCCATGCCTTTTCTCTTATTATCAACTTTATAAACAGTCTTTAGCAGGTTCAACAAGCAGGTTCTTTGTTAATACCCAAGAGAAAAGCCACACAAACATCTGACAGCTGTAACGTATCACAAGCTTCCACAAATGCACTTTGCTCTCAGTAAGGCCGGCCACACCCAGCAGGGTGATGTAAGACTTACCTGGTTGTCACTGTTGGCAGCTGACGCGTTAGCCTGAGCTGTACTTGCTGAGAGGGAATCGAGGAAGGCTTGGTCAGCCACTGAATTTCCACAAGAAAATGGATCTTTCCCATCACTGGACAAAATCTGAATATTAGAAAGATTCACAATCACTTTCATAGATTAGAGTTTCAGAGTTAGAGTCCCTGAGGGCAAGTAAGAATTGTTATCTATTATAGAAAAGGGGCTTATATTCCTAAGAGGCAAGTAAGCCAACAACATTTAACTATTCCTTTCTGTAAATATGCAGAATTCTAGGAAATGCAATTAATGACAGTATCTACTTAAATCCTCAGATTTTTTTTATTCTTGTCAATTTTCAGAATCCTGAAAGCAGACTGCACAGAGCTGAAACACAACATACACATAAGACATGTGGACCGAGTTCAGAGGTCTATGAACCCTCTGAAACTGTATGGAAAAGGTTGGGTGCATGCGTATGCACATATTTCTGAGAAGGGCCACAGATTCCATCAGATTCTCCAAAGGATTCAAAACTTGCCACCCACACTCTCTCCATCAGGAACAAGAGATGGGTAGCCAGCCTGTTCCGCAGGCAGTGCCCCGGTAAACATCTTCCTCGGGTACAAGTCCTCTCTACTGGAGGGAGCCGCAGGGACCTTTATTCTGGATCACTCTCTGATTTTACTCACAGGGTGCCAGGCAGCCTTAGTTTCTATTATCCCAGATTAGAGACAAGCTCGCCCTATAACCCATACTTAGTTTTGAGTGACCTACAGACGACCAGCGGGGGGCGCCAGGAGTTTGACACACAAGAGGGCTTGTCAGAGGAGTGGGTGTGTCCCAGGCAGGGAGCCTCATTCATTCAGGGTGTTGTAACACTATCCTTGGCATCTATCATAACAGCTTAAACCAGGCAATGGTTCCCTGTAGCTCATTCAAGACCCTTCTGTCTATGGGAATGGGAGAAGGAACTGAGAGAAATGGACTGAATTTAAACTTTGTGATCAATTCTATAATAAACAGTACTGTAGGCAGCGGCTATTACACAATATAAGCAAGTGAGAAACAGAGACTTCGATTCAGAATAATGAAACACTGCTATCTGGAACTGAGAGAAATGGACTGAATTTAAACTTTGTGAATCAATTCTATAATAAACAGTATTGTAGGCAGCGGCTATTACACAATATAAGCAAGTGACAAACAGGGACTTAGATTCAGAATAATGAAACATTGCTATCTTTGGGAAGAACTTCACTTAAATATTTGGAGTCGCTCTTTGGAGCCTGGGTCCACAGATAATATTTTTTTCTTAATTCTACTTCAATGTCTTCTCACATTTTACATAATTAGCGTGTATTACTTTTGCAATGAAAATTTTTTATTAAAAATAAAGTTGCTATCATCTAGTCTGTCCCTTAAGTTGATAATTCATAAAACTATGTTTGACAAAAACAAGGTTTAATTGATAAATGGCAGTAAGTTCTTACTTCAACATAGTCTGTGGGAACAAGACCTCGTTCTCCTTTGCTGTTTTTTGCTTCCAGCCATCCTCCACCAACATCCTAAGAAAGTTAAAACACACACACAAACACACACAAACACAAAATAAAACAGCACACACACACACACACACACACACAAACACAAAATAAAACAAAACAAAACAAACAAACAAACAAAAACAAAAAACGGAAAGAAAGAATATAGTTAGAATTTCTTGCAAAATATTTACTTTGGGAATTGTTATATATGTGAGGACACAATTCAAAATTTTAAATTATTAAGCCTTCTCTTTACTCCAGAAAATAATATCATCTAAAAACAAGAAGTATCAAACTTCAACAATAAGTGATCAAAGATTTGTAAATAGCCTATTCACAGAATGCCATCATTTTGTGATTCCTTCCTATTTATGGTCTGTGGTAGATTACAAAAATGATCTGCAGCTCTGATTGGCAAGAAGCAGAATGAACACCCCACCTCTAGAACTGGGCTGTCCTTTGTGGCCTCTTGGTCAACAGAGTGAGCTGGAAATGGTGGGGTGAGCTCAAGAGGCTTTGCACATTTCAGACTGCTTTTCCCCTAAAAGAGCTGCTATGTGAACACATCTGCGTTGCTAGATGATGAAGAAGACAAGGCCCAATCTGCCTGTTGCCCCATCTAAAGCCAGCCTACCCGCAGCAGGAACACTGCCAGTCACGTGAGTGAGTGAAGACATGTTACCCAGGGAGCCCCAGCCCAGTGCCAGGTGACCTCAGGCTCCTGAGTGAGCCCAGGCTGGTAGAACTATCCAGCTGACTTGTAGACTCCTGAGCAACAACAAATGGTGGTTTGTTTTAGTCACTAAGCTCTGAGATTGCCTATTATTTAGGAAACGCTAATTGATCCATGGGTTCCTTAGTTAGCTCTTCTGCTAAGCTCTGAGATTGCCTATTATTTAGGAAACGCTAACTAATTGATCCATGGGTTCCTTAGTTAGCTCTTCTAATAAATAATATTAATAAAATAAATAATAAAGGACTCTATACCAGGATTCCTGTGTTTCAATCTATTATCTCAGCAAAAACCCACTTTCCCCCCTTAAAATAGTAAGAGTTGTCTTAAGTTCATAAATTGTGCCCTAATTATTTAATAATTACCTGAATCTAGCCCTAACTGGTTTGGTTCAGCAGATAGAGCGGCGGCCTGCGGACTCAAGGGTCCCAGGTTCGATTCCGATCAAGGGCATGTACCTTGGTTGCGGGCACATCCCCAGAGGGGAGTGTGCGGGAGGCAGCTGATCGATGTTTCTCTCTCATCGATGTTTCTAACTCTCTATCCCTCTCCCTTCCTCTCTGTAAAAAATCAATAAAATGTATTTTTTAAAAATTACCTGAATCTAGATAAAACATTTTTCATTCTTTTAAAAAAAATTACTCTAAGCCACAACTCTGTCCATTTTTGACAACAGCAACTTAAAGACATTACTATTTTTCTAAGATATGAAGAATATGTCTTCATTAAAAAAATTAGGTAGATAAAAGAATCAAAATTTCATCAATGATTTAAAAATAGAATCCATTTACTTATATACACCTAGCATCCTATATAATAAAGATGCAATATGCAAATGGTCGTTATGCCATGAAGCTTAATGACCAACCGCATGACGACCGGATCACGGATCAGCAGGAGGGTGGGGCAGCGAGCTATGAGGGGGGGCGGGAGGAGCCACAGGAGGGTGGGGAGGTGGGCAGAGAGCTACTAGAGGGCGGCAGTGAGCTACTGGCACAGGGCTACTAGTATTTTATAAAACCACATATACTTTTTCTACCCAGTAATTCATTTTTGTACCTAAGGCAGATTTTAAAATAGGTGTAAAAATACTATCACTATGAAGAAACCACCATCCTCCTCTCGGGCATCCCGTCCTCCCCCTCCTGGTGGAACACCTGCATCTCCTTCCTTCTCCAGAGTGCCCTCGGCCTTCCTGTCGGAGAGTCCAGGGAGCCAGCCCATCTCCAGCCTCCTCTCCAGCTCTGCATTTCCATTCTTAAACTGATGCAGCCCATGTTAATTATTTTCTATTCTTTAAACTCAACATATCTAAAGTAAACTCATTTCATCTTTCTACCTGACTTACATACATTAATAAGTCCACCATTGTCTTAGGCATAAAGGACAAAAGCCTCAGGGGCCCTTGACTCTCTTCTCACCAACAGGCCCCAAGTCCCCTGGGTCTGACTCTCCACAGCCTCCTATATCAATTTTCTTTCAACGTCTATTGCTACGACTCAAAGTCATGCCCCTCGATTCCAATCCATCCCACATACCTCTACTAGATTATTTTCCTCAAAGTGCAGGTCTCATCATGTCTCCCTGCCAACACCACCAACCACAAAAAACAAGCAAAACCCTTAAAGGAATCCACTACTTAACAAATGAAGCCCAGAATCTGTGTATGGCCTGGCACACAAGTCCTGCCTGATTTGGCTCTAAGAGCCCGTGTTCCTAGCCTGTCTCCTACTGGTCTATACGTACCTGTGCTCCTGGGACACTGGTGTCCATGCAGTGTTCCCAGCAGAGAAAAAAAGCAGAAGCTGAGAGGCCAAACAGATGTGGCTTTGAACCCTTGTTTTGTCACTTACAAGCAGAATGACCTTGGACAAGTTACTTAACTTCTCTAAGTCTCATTACCCTCATTTGCAAAAAGAGATGAAAAATACTGACCTCATAGAGTTCATGGGGAAAATACAATAAAGAAAATAGGCATAGAACTTAGCCAAACACCTGACTCATAGGTTGTCAATATGTTGCTGCGACTTCTAAGAAACACTGAGTACTTTCTAATTTCAGCACCTTTGATCTGGCTGGGATCTGGCTAGGATTTCTATTTGATGAAACCCTACCCAGCTATCTTTAGGGGACTTGACTTACTCAATGTTTATAAAATATTCTTGCCCTGGCTGGTGTTGCTTGGTGGTTAGAGCCTCAGCCCATACACCGAAGGGTCTCAGACTCCATTTCCGGTCAAGGGCACGTACCTGGGTTGCGGGTTCCCTTCCTACTCCTGGTCAGGGTAGCAACCAATCGATGTGTTTCTCTCACACTGATTTCTCTCTATCTCTGTCTGTCTCTCTCTCTCACCCTCCCCTGCCCCCCGCCCCCACTTCCACTCTGAAAAAGCAATGGAAAAAACATCCTCTGGTGAGGATTAACAAAAAAATAAATAAAATCTTAAAAATAAGTCCTTAAGGGACAATTTGATTTAAATGCAATAGTTCTCTTACCGGATTTGTAATTGTGATTATTTCTCCTTCAGTAACTGTCAGTTCATTATTTCCAGGTTCAGCAGCAAAATCATACAAAACCCGAGCCTGTTGGGAGTGGAAAGGAAAAGAAGTTACAAATGTAAATTTAGTAAAAAAACCCAACAACCTTTAAATTCCCTTTGTATACATGCTGGTATGAACAGACACCACATGACAGTGGCCGCCATGTTTGGGGAGAAAGGAGACATATTACCAAAATGATTCAGAGCCCAGTTCTGTTTTGGAAACAGGAGAAGTTCTGGTAACTGCCCACACTGCATTTAGAGACTGGCCCCCCAAAAGTCCTCAAAACACACCCATTTCATCAAGGGGAAAAAGGGATGCCCCTCCTTTCCAGGAGGTAAGAAGTAGTAATACAGACATTGTTCATTATGGGAACTCACTCTCAGGGACCGAAGAGATATACAGAGACATACAAACATGGAGACACCTGCAAGAGTCAGACATCTTTAGAGTTTTCCCTTGCCATTAAAACTCTCACCATTCTTTATCTAGAGCCACTGGGATGAATCCTGATAATGCATTTTCCCAGACAAGTAAACACAGAATGCAGGATATACACTGCATTCTTGTTCTACAATATTACCCACTGTACAATGACTCATAGGGCTGTGGAGACTGGCCAGTAATTTTCAAACATTTTCCTGCAATGAAATCTTAATTTCTCAGAAAACATCTGAGGGTTCAAAGAGGATCCTTGAGGCACCAACCCAGAAATGTGAGTTCCTTGGAATACTGCCACACATGTATTCTGAGAGAGAATCACTGTTGAAAAAAATGTATGTGTATTACAGATCATAAAAATATATATATCTTGCCCTAGCTGGTTTTGCTCAGTGGATAGAGCATCAACCCATGGACTAAAGGGTCCTGGGTTTGATTCTGGTCAAGGGCACATGCCTCGGCTGCAGGCTCGATCCCTGGTCCCTGTCAGGGTGTGTGCGGGAGGCAGCGATGGATGTGTCTCTCCCCCTCCCTTCCACCTTCTCTAAAAATCAATGGGAAAATATCCTCAGGTGAGGACTAACAACAAACAAAACCCCCTTTTAACCATTTCAAATGCTATATAAATGCTTTCACGGACTGTCTCATAAAAAGAAGTCCATCTTATAAATCGAGGCTCACCCATATCTAGAGATATATGGTTTATTTTTAAAGTAACTGTTTGTCCTAAGAGGCAAACTGAAGTTTACCTCCAGGGCTAGTCAAGCAGGACGGATGGAACGGCATTCACTTCACAAATATCTACTGCACACCTACCATATGCTGAGACCTGTGCGAGGCTCTCGTGCTCGCCAGTGCGCTTTCTCACACTTGCTTAATGATGCCTGAAATCCTTATCACAAGGATTAAGCATTCACAGCTAGTAATAAAAGACAAGGGAAAAACCTAAATACTCATTTTCAAGTCCATCAAAAACAATAAGATGTGCTCTTCCGGGCTCCGTGCGGTGGTCGGCATGGCCCATGAGTGTGCGGACAGGCCGGGGAAGCGGCAGGGAAGCCGGCGGGTCACCCAGGCGCGGCCGGCGGGGAATCCCCTTGTACTGACCTGTCTTCAGACAGCAGAGAGGGAGGTGGAAATCAACGAGAACTTGCCTGCTAGAAAAATATGAAGAAATCCCAGGAAATTAGCAAGGGAAAAAGAAAAGAGGATAGCTTGACTGCCTCTCAGAGAAAACAAAGAGACTCTGAGATCATCCAACAAAAGCAGAAGGCAGCTAATGAGAAGTCTATGCAGACAAGAGAAAAATGATGACTGACAATTTGGAAAACCTGGTGCTACTGCCAACTAGGTGTATTATAAGCTCTACGATCAAGATTTTGTAGAGTGAACAGTCATTACATGTTACAACATATCTTTATAAAAACTATTTTAAACTTTACCTTTCAGAACCATTCTTCAAAGAATAAAACACTAACCATGCATGTGAAAAAAATAATAATAAGATGGACTGATGGGTGAATATGTGATAAAGCAGGTATAATAAATGCTATTTATAGAATCTAGATGGTGGGTTTATGGTGTTCAATGAAAAATGATTTCAACTTTTCTACATGTTTGAGAGTTTTCATAATAAAATGTTGGAAAGAAACAAATGGTGGTGTATAGTGTGTCAGTGAAGAAATGGCACCTGATTTCTTCCTTCCATCTTTACGGAGAGGCTGGGAAGGGGATGGGAAGAATGGACTGCAGGCAGAGATTCTGGGAGGATTCGGTTTCCTTAGGTCATTTCAAGCACAACAAAACTGTGCTGAGGGGTTTTTCTCCTACAGCTGCAAAAGTACAAGAATTCTGCTTGTCATGTTGTGGAATATTTTTCAAAAACATGTCATACCAATCTCAATCCGTCGTGCAAAGAGAGCAGACATGAGATAAATGGGTGAGGCAGGTCCTCCCCTGTGAGGAGGGTCCCAGAGCCAGGACACACCCCTCAGCACAGCAAGCTTCCTGGGGAGGGGTCTGGTGTGCTGACAAGAGCCAGATGATTTCTTATTATTCCTTAAGAATCCCAGTTAACAATTTTTTTAATCCCACTAACTCCAACTAATCCCCAAATACAGAATACCAAAGCCTCGTTACCAAATTTACAACTTGGTAAAACAGAATGTCAAAAACAAAAACAAAAACTGGAAACTCTTACACATTTAAATGTTACTAAACATGCCCTAACCTGTTTGGCTCAGTAGATAGAGCATCAGCCTGCGGACTCAGGGGTCCCAGGTTCGATTCTGGTCAAGGGCATGTACCTTGGTTGTGGGCACATCCCCAGTGGGGGGTGTGCAGGAGGCAGCTGATCGATGTTTCTCTCTCATTGATGTTTCTAACTCTCTATCCCTCTCCCTTCCTCTCTGTAAAAAATCAATAAAATATATTTTAAAAAAATAAATAAATGTTACTAAACATTTATCCAAGGCAAAAATGTATATAAACATTGTAGGGTTATTTAAAACACTGATCAATACTTTTTTAAATCTAGAGTTGTCTCTTAAAAATTAGAAATGAGAATAATTTTGGAGAAAACAAATATTTCAAAGGCACATCCCCAAATGAGCATAATAGGCCAACAGAAAAAATAATTGAATGTTCAGCCTAAAGGAGCAACCTTTCTTTTCTCTTCTCTTTTCTCTCTTCTCTTCTCTTCTCTTTTCTTTCCTCCTTCCTTCCTTCCTTCCTTCCTTCCTTTCTTTCTTTTCTTGTTTTCTCTCTTTCTAAAGAACTTTACATTTTACTTTTCAATTAGTTTACATATAATATTATTGTGTATTAGTTTCAGGTGCACAGCATAGCAGTTAGACAATCACATACTTCATAAAGTGGTCCCCCTGATATTTCAAGTGCTCACCTGGCACCATACCCAGTTAGTACAATATTAGGGACTCTATTCCCTATGCTCTACTTTAGCCCCCTGTGACTATTCTGTAACTGCCAATTTGTGCTTCTTAATCCCTTCACCTTTTTCACCCAACACCCAAACTTCCTCCCCTCTGGCAACCACCAGTTTGCTCTGTGTTTATGAGTCTGTTTTCATTTTGTTTGTATATTTTGGAGGATCAATTATTCTTCTACAGCTTAAGTAAGAACCAGAACGCATTCTAATAGACCCTGAGAGCATTACTGTATTACATCATTAATACAGATGTATTTGTCCCTATTATAAATGTTAAGGCTTCAATGCTTTTCAGTTCATATCAATCCATGATTTCAATCACTTTAAATTCTGGCTTGTGCTTATTCTGTTGTTATTTTGAATCAAATACAGAATCTTAAATATCTCTACGATTTCATCCTGTTAGACTCAGCCCACTGCTTCTACCTACTAATGAGTTTTCTGAATTCTGAAGCCACTAATTTATCCCTTATCCTTTCCTGCTGAGTCATCAGAAAGCCCGATAAGCATGCTTTCCATAGTTTGACCTGCTTCATTAATAAACTGTTAAAATATGGTAGGTGGGGAGCCAAGAGAGCCGCTAGAGATAAGAAATTCTCCAAGAGGACATGGGTCAATTAATTACCATGTTTTGGGTATGGTACTCTTAACATTTCCAAAGAAGAAAATAAAGTTAGTCTATTTCTTTAAATGTTCACAAGTAGCATGTTTAATAATTCATTCAAGAATCTATTCAAGTCCTGGCCCATGTGGCTTAGTTATTGGAGCATCGTCCCGTACACCAAAAGGTTATGGGTTCAATTTCCAGTCAGGGCACATACCTAGGTTACGGGTTTGATCACCCCATTGGGGGCTGTAGGGGAGGCAACCAATTGATGTTTCTATCTCTCTAAGATTCAATAAAAACATATCATCAGGTGAGGATTAAAAAAATAAATGAAAAAAAAAGATGATTAGAAGGCAGAATCTGTATTAAGGGCTATATATTCCTGCAGTTCTCATTCTGAGTACTGTGGTTTTCACTGTATATAAACATAATATACTTTCACAACAAGGACAAAAGCAATATAATGAAGTTAAAAAATGAAAAGTTAAAAAATGTTCCTCTTTGCCAAAGGATACAAGTGCTAACAGATCTGAAAGTACCCTTAAAATACCCTTCAAAACATTATGCATTTGACACATGTTTGCACATAAACACAAAACCACTTAGGACCATAGTACATATACTCTTCTACAGATCATATTTCATTTACTCTTAGTTCTCTTTATATCAGCATATTTACCTTGCTCTTTATCACACTTGCAAGGTTCCTACTAACCTCCAGGACAAAGCACACGAAAACCTACCTCGCTGTGGTTAAGAAAATAACTTCACTCCCACCCCAAATTAAAATAGCTTTATTATTTTCCTGATTGTAAAAAGACATGTACATGGTAAAACACACACACACACACACACACGCTTTTCTAACCCCAAAGATGATTGGTAGAGAACTTATATGCACTCCCAGTAACAGTGTCTGTCTAAGCTGCCACCTCCCAGGCCCCAGTATTGTGTACTGAATGTTTTCCATTCCTCCCACAAAAGGGGAGGAAATGTAATTATTGGCAACACAGTGATTAAGCTGGCTTGGAAACCAGACCATGCAGG